CCTCTCCCCAACTCCCCTCAATGTATTTTCATTTATTTTCTCTTCCGCTGAGTGTTGGAAGACAATTTGACCCAAGGCTGAGATCAACAGCATTCCAGAGTACTGATCAGCAGTGTGAGCCTTAGCTGTATTTCTCCTCCCTAATCCAGGGCCTTGAATTGGGAAGAGCCTAGTTTGCTGAGCCATTGAGCTGGTTAACCTTTATGTCAAACTACATTTCTTTTAGACCAAATTTTCACTTCTCGTTTCCCGTTAACACAGTGACACGTAGTTTACGATAGATCCCACTGACTCACATTGGAATATAGTTCCACAAGCACTTGGCTCCTTCCAGTGTCACTGCTAAGTAATCTTCATAATCATACGCGAGTCTGGACAAAGAGTGTCAGAGGCTTTACTGTGGGGATTGTGAAGGGATTCCAGTCACCTAACGTACACATAAACATCTCCAAAGCTGCCATGCTTCACGTCTGAGTCTTGACGTTCTGAGAAAATGCTCGTCATTTACAATTTGTTGCGGAGCGCAGAAACAGCATTTCACATGAAACACTCGGAATGATTACACAGAAACAGATGACACTAATAAAGAGGCCACTTAGTCCATTTTTGTGTCACCTGAGAAGCCTTCCCTGCTCATTTCCCTGTATTCTCTAATACTTCTCCACTGCTTTTATCTGTCCAATTCAATGGTTTTCAGTGGAGCACTTTTCTCCCCACCAAGTAAACCCAAGCAAGGATCAAACCCAAACAGTGTTATCATGACTGATGCTCTCAAAGATTGGTTCGATCAAAGTCTCCACTAAAGTAGCATGCAACTACCAGGATGGTAGAAGGCAGACTAAATGGACCTTGGTCTTTTTTTTGTCTAGCAATTCCTATGTTCCATTGAAATGTATGGCGGCAACAGGTACGACTGAGCTGGGACACTAAAAACAATTTGATTTGTTTGTGTGCTTGAGGGGTTGAGTTGACTTGGATCACAAGAAACTAAATGGAGACCAATTCAATCGTCATTTGTAAGGGGGGTGGGGGGGAAATCAGGATGGAAGTTAATCTCAACAAGTCCAGCAATGTGTCAGGCAAGCGTTCAGAAAACATTGTAATAATTGTAACTACTTGCCATGATGTGACCGAAGAAATTTACCGGCAAAGTGTTTTTTTTCAAGATATTTTTCTTCAACATGGTCGGAAGGAAATGAAGCACCTTATTTGTATTTAAAACAGTGGTGTAATTGCAATTGAAATGTGGTTGAGTTAAAAACAGTGCGGATTTTGTAAAATGTAAACATATCTTGATTGCCCTTTCTGTAAATTCTGCATTGGAAGTAACAGTACAGTTCAATGGAAAGCAAAATTAGCATTCTATGCAATCTAAACGTTACTGTTTAAGTGCTGGAAATGAAAACCTTTAATGCGTTACCAGTTAAGAAAAAGACATACGTTGAGCTAACTCCATTTCTGGTGCTTTACTTATTACTGTTAATGCACAGTGTGTACTGAACTCTGCCTTTCTGTATAATTGGGAGTTTGTGTGGAATGAGGAATATTATGTAAGACAAATGCCAACCCCGTCTTTCAACTGGTGTGCTGCAGTGAACACCACTTAAGATCGAAAGTTCCAGTATCTATCTTACGGGTCGGATATATTCTCTGTTGCAGAATCTACACGTTTAAACTACACAGTGTTCTTCCTTTAAGATCTTCACTTATTTCTATTCAAAAACATGCAATGCACAAATGTACAGAACACAGACAAACACAGGGAATATTGCAGCTTGAAACAGACCCATTCAATTGGGCAGAGATGTGTGCTCTTTATGGAACAGTTCGGCAGATGAGCCACAGGCTCCTCTGAAGAACGGCACGTTCTTAATAATAAAACTGTTCCATTGAACTAGCGACTCCTGTTGGACTGACTTGGGTGTTTCTGCCACTACCCACTTAAGGCCAAAGTGTTCTGTGAGCAACAGGAGATGAAGTGTTATCACTGGCCAAACATAACAGGATTGGGTAACACAAAGACAATAAAGCAGCACTTAAAAGTGACAGTAATTTTTTGGGGAGCTTTCCATCATTCGGAATACCAAAGGTTTCAGATCAGAACGCCGTTCGCCGTGTGTGAAATCGTCAAGGAAAGAATATAGCACATTTAGTTTCTGCACCAGTTCAGTTCAATGCTGTACTGCAATGGTACACTTTTGCCAGCATGGCTAAGCACCAGACCTTATAGACTACACCACAGTTATGATGTACTATGTAAGAAAAATAGCAACAGTTTTTTCCAATGATGTGCTTGATTCACATCAGAGACATGGCTTGGTTTGACTTGCGTGTCGATGTTTGTAAGATCCATCTTGTTGAGGCTAGTTGAGGTATTTGTATCATGTGGATAAGGTAGCAATGGTCTGAAGACTTTTACACTGATCCCAAAAACAGTGAACATTTCGCTGTGTATTTAGAATGGATTGCTCAACGCTATTTTTAGAGAACAGAGTAAGATAGGCTCCACTGTTGCTCTTCCCCTCTGGAGGTCTAAGCTTGAATTTCGTCCCAATGACTATTTTGGCCGCACCTTGCTTATGACCACCATGAAAGAAAATAAGACTCTTGTAAAAGCTCTCTGCATAAAAATCCACATGAATACAGCACCTAAATTGGGAACTTGTGCTACCAAACCATCTACATTAAAATGTTAGGCACCAAAACACCTATAAAGAATGATCCTTTGAGGTGCGATATAGACACAAACAGACAGCACTAACAGTCACCCCTGTAAATTTTAGTGGTGACAACAACAACAACAACTTCTATTTATCTAGCACCTTTCATGTAGAGGAACTCCTCAAAGCGCTTGACAGTAATGGTGATTTAAAGAGATCGACCACAAAGGCAAGGTTGGAGAGAGACGTTTTTGGAAAGACTTTGAAGGTAGGCGGCAGCAAGTAAAGGTGAGCGAGCGATTGCCTGGAGGTGGAAGAGTCAGGGGATACAACTGGAAATGATTGCACAGGGACAGTGAGAGCGAGACTGTGGAAGGATTTGAATACTGGTTGAAGGATCTTAAACTGATCCATTTGCTGAGGTTCTGGAGTCACTAAAGGTTGCTGTGGATGGGGGTGAATATAGAGCCTTAGGCAGAAAAAGGAAATTGGGCTGAAGAATGTTAGCCCAGTTGGAGACTGTGGAGAGTGACATTCGGGAGGTGGGTGAGGAGAGCGCTGGAGAAATCTTTCCTCGTGGTGACCAAGACTTGGATAAGGGTTTCAGCAGCATAGGAGATGGTGAGGTCAAGGAGTCTCATTCTCCCAGATCACCATCCTAACGTCCTCCCATCACAGCATCAAACCACTCAGCAGCTGACACTGCAGAGGGTGCCTGGGGGGTGGGGGGGCGGAAGGGAGCTGTGGGGCTATGTAGGAGAGATAAAAGTAGGTGGCAGGATAAAAAGATCTGAGCGAGAGTAATAATAATAAGACGTCTAGAAGACGTGAAAAGTGCTATGTCAAATGCAAGTATTATTATTATTAGATAATAATATTATTATAACAATAATGATAATAATCCTTGCATTTGATATAGGCCCTTGTCACGTGGTGAAACGTCTCAAAGCGCTTCACAGGATATACTGTAAAGTGGAGTGACTGTGTATTTCTGTGGGGCAACAGGGATATGGAAAGCGAGATAGGGAAGGTGAGATGAAGAGGGGTCCAGGGGAATTCAATAGGGGAGGAGGGTGGTGGAGAGTGAAAAGGAAATTTCGGAAATTCACAATTGCTGACGGGAACCAAAAAGGAGATTTCATTAATACTATAGCTGGTCAGTTGCAAAGTGGTTTCTATGACAGCGTGCATTATATTTCTGGACACTTCTTATAGTCTCAGATGCTACCACCTAGCCCTTCCAGACCCTATAACTGAAATCAATTGGAAGTAAAGCTTCGTTTTTTTTTTAAGATCCCATAAATATATAACAACGCCAGACATAATTCGAGACAATAAAATAAAGAATTAAACATTATAAGTGAGCAGCTTGGATTTCACAGTGATTTCCTTTTTTTTTGCAATCTATTAATGCTGGATTATACCTTACGGATTCTGTTAAACGTCTCATTTTCTTACGACCGTACTTGACAGTGCAACCCAGAATCTAAAGTTATGAGGGTCTATAGCTTAACCAGATCAATGTTGGAAATAAAAAAAAATTAGCTTAATTCTCTGGTATATATCTTGGAAGAATTACAAATAGTTGCAGATAGTAAGTAGATTGACATCGATCATGGGGTGAGTGGGGTGAGTAGGATCATGCAACTGTTAATTTTGGCAGATCGTTTTAGCACCAAATGTCTGCGATTAGGAACACGGTTCGTTTAAACCGTTGAATGATGCATGCACTCTTATGGTGGTGGGGGGGGGGGGGGAAAAACGAGGGAATAATGACCATTTAATTGCCAAGCGATTTCATTAGCAGTTTGGCAAACCTATTGCAGAGTGAACGCTGTCCTCGACCGACTATCTCCGTAAAGGAGAAGAAGAAGAAAAAAAAACCTTGGGATGTACCGTGTGTAGGTTTTTTTTTTCCTGAGCTCAGCCCTGCCTGCTTTGGGACGAAATTAGAAAAACTACAAATCAACCGAGAAAAAAACTAGTACGTCGTTCCGATAAATTGCTGATCTCCCTGTGGTGTAAGCTGTCTGCAGGAAATACTTGTTTATGTCTGACTGAAATGATTGAGTTCACGGATTCCACAATGTGCTGCTTCCCTCTTTCCCCTTTCCCCCTTTCCCCTCCCCCCCCCCCCACCCCCCACCCGCTCTATAAATTATGGTCACTGCTGTTTGGAAAAGGTGTCTTGCTTGCCAAAATACTGTCAAGTCCAACATTGCTGGCTGTATCGTAAGCCTAATGAGATGAGCATTAATAGTCAGCACAATGGCTGTGATATAAGTAAGTGGTGCTTGCAAAGTTTATGATATAAGCTAGTTACCTTCTCTTCCCTCCTATCTCCTTTTTTTTTAAAAAAAAATGATTACGAAGTATGCAATAGTGACATTTCGTCCACACGGCAGTCCGGCCGGCCTCTTTGGTTGGTGTGAAGCCCTTTGCCTCTCTGAAGGTTCTCCCCGAAGGATCAATGTCTTTGGCAAGTTCTACAACACATCTGCCTGAAGTAGGGCCTATTGCAGAATTTAAATTTTAGCACCAGTGGGCAATAGGCAACTTTGTTCACGTCCTTGCATTCTGTGGAGGAAGTGAGATGGCGGTCAAAAGTCCTGTTCTCTCCAGCGGGCTTCCTGTGCGCAAACACGCCGCCGTATTGCCCTACAAAACCGCACAGTCGCTATGCTAAACAGAAGATCCCGTGAAGCGCTTTGAGGCGACCTCCTGACACGAAAGGCGCTGTATCGATTGTAAGGGTAATTCTCAACATTATTATTACTGACGAATAAAAGAAACTTTCAATAATACGATCAGAGGAAGATATTAATAAGGGCGTTATCAATAACACCCTTGTTAAAGGGCACGAATTTCATTCCCCCAGACGTTGCATCATTCCCGACAGTTTGGCTTTACGGAGCAACATGCAAATCTGTACGGTGCAGCCATGTTCGAACTCTTCTTCAGATGGCTGGTCTGTAACCCGACCGTGCAATGAGGGGCTGTGCAACCAGCTGAAACCCCGAATGGAACTGAAATGAGAGGGAGAGAAATAGGCTTGGGATCAGGATTGCTGGACGAAGGAGGCGGGTTTTACCTTCTGGATTTTCGGTGGGAAGAGTTTCACATCTGCTCTCGCACTGCTGCATGGCTGGGGGCCGTAGGGACTCTGGACATTCCATAGACGGCTTACCAGTGTACGTCAAGCATTGAACGGCCCGCATCTGCTGACCCAGACCGCACTGAACGGAGCACTGCGAAGGCAAAGCCAGACAGATACAGTGATTTTCTTGCACCTGGTGCACCACTCCATCCACCAGAGCCTCACTAGTCAAACGGTAACAGCAAGTGTACAACAACGACGACGACGACACCTTGCATTTACACAGCGCCCCCTCCGAGCCGGGGGGGGGGGGGTGGTGAGAAGGGGGAGCAATCTGCTGTTTGAGACCAGGGTTCAATTCTCCCGATGGGGGGTTGTTGTCCCTGACTGTCCAGCACCTTGGGACATTCTACAGAGGCGAAAGGCGCAATACAGATGTAATTTGTTGCTGTTGATACTGTTTCGTGATCAGGGAACGAGGCGAAGATGGGGCTTTACACACCACAGCAGGAGAGTCACACGTGGGAATATTTGCGCTTTAGCCATATTCTGTCGTCAGCTAATAAAAAAAAACCCTCCCTTATACGTATTTTAGTAGCATTTCGTCCCCTTCATTGAAATGATTTATTAAAACAAGAAGTCGCGCCTTTGGAGGGACTTCGAACACAAAGTGAGTCAACTCGCTCAGCCTGCTCAAACCTTAAACACTCTTTACCTTACATATTACGACCCCGACTTAATCAAAAGCTGTCGCCCAATTACGTGCTTGTGGACAAGTAAATATTTCAGACGTATTTAGAGTGGGGAGTATTTTAAATTGGTTAATGTAAACGGGACACTGGTTTTGTCCTCCCGACTCAAGAAGCCCCAACTCTAATCACTGGAGCGTTGGGTGTAAAATGCCGAGCTCCGTGACATTTGCTCCTTTGAAGGGGTACTGCGTTCCCGCATGGAGTGCACCTCCATACTGCGCCTTGGAATGGGGAAAGACAGCTCAGTCCTGCAATTCCTGATACTAACCACTATGCGGCGACATTAGAAGCCGCGTCACAGCAACAGAGTTGGCGACGCAGACGACGAAGCTGTTTCACTAATAATCCTTGCATGTGACGCGGAGCCTCATCACGTCTTCGAGACGTCTCAAAGCGCTTCACAGAGCAGTCCGTAAAGTGAACGTTTTGCGGGCGAAAGGCGGCAGCCAGTTGTACGGCGCGGCAATGTGCCGTTCAGCTCAATCAGTGTTTATGCTCCACAAAAGCCTCCTAATCCCTCCTCCTGTATCCCCCTCAACTCCTCTCCCTCACATAGGCATCAAGTTTCTTTTGGTAGATTATCGGCAGTTCTTTTTTGCTTCCGGTGAAAGCTTTGAAACATCTCGAAGCCCCGGGAAGACGCTATCTATATAATATATACATTTATCTATGAAAATCAAGGATTATTAATATCATTATTATTTTCCTATAATGGGATGTGTGGGGGGTAAAGTGCACGCAGTATTTTTTTCCAGCCTGCGGACGACAAGCGATGTGACGGGACATGATTACCGGACTCCAATCTCCTGCTACCCAGTGAGGGGGTGGACATCGCTGTAGAATGCATCGCATTCGGCTGTGAGGTTTGAAGGCTGCAGAGCAGCGGGAAGGTGGATAAGTCACAGTGTGATCGCTGTCCTTGCACAGAACAATACGGTGACGGTTACCTGGTCCACAACTTGGAGTGCACTGTTTGAAACAGAGAGAGAGAGAGAGAGAGAGAGAGAGACGGAGAGAGGAGGAAAAGACACGATATAAAATAAAAGGCAGCAATATAAAGCACGACTGTTTTTCAAGGCGTGAGGTCCAACCTGACAAGAACGTGCAAAAGCAATGCGCTCAAGGCCGTTACCATTTTGACCCCCTTTTCCCCCAAATATCCCTGAACTGCCCAAGTAACCCTCACTCCCTCCCACCTCCCTTGCTCGCTGATCTTTCTCTTATCCCGCTTCTCTGCTCCCCCCTCCGCCCGGCTCACTTGGGGCCTTCGTTCAGATGAAAATTAGGAAACAAATCTTTTGAAAACATATAATATTTTAGGATACACGAGTAATTTCAGACATGAGATAGAGGTCATTTATCGTCCGGCAAATCCTCTGTTCTCTTTGGCCCTCTGTCTAACCCCCTCTCTCTCTGTCTTTAAGTCCCCGACCTTAAAACCCATCGTGTGGACTGCGTCTACGGTCACCTCCCTCGTCTCCCTCGCTCAGCACTTGTCACCGCTGTTGTGTAGCACTCCCAGACGTGAAGGGCGGCACGAGTTGATTCCCTTCTAAAACAAATCAACAGTTTCTGGCTGTTTCATCGGGGTATGTAAGGAGCCCATCGGAGATGGACCTTACCTCAGACCAATCGAGAGCAACCCACTCGGGTGGACAGGTGTGGTTGTTGCAGATTTCCTTCGCCTCGGGCCGCTGATTCACACAATAACTATCGTCCAGTACTTTTCCCTCCGAGGCAGAGACTTTCCGGATGCATCTTACAGTCCGAGTGCGTAGCCCGCCACTGCAGCTCCTGCTACACTCAGACCACTCACCCAGAACCCAGCTGGATGAGAGCAAAAATATTCGGTACTTCTAACTTGAACCCGCCACGATGAAACAACACCGACAACTTGTATTTACACAGCGCCCCCTCACCCAGGGCAGCTTCCCGGAGCGCAGCACAACTCCGAGACCGGGGGGGGGGGGGGAGAGGGGAGGTGGCCGCAGGCACGGTCGAACAGGAAGGTCTTCAGGCGCAATCTGAAAGTGGGGAAGGAAAGGGCAAGGCGGAGGGATAGAGGAAGAGTGTTCCAGAGTTTCATGGCGTGAGCACACTGAGACGCACAGAGAGAGAAGGTGAACATCTAATAATCATAATAATCCTTGCATTTGATATCGTGCCTTGGATGCTAAAGATGCCGTGACACTATTCGAAAAGGGAAGGGAGTTTCTCCCTGGTCTCCAGGTGAACAATCGCCCCAGATAAACTGTTCTCTGATTTCAAATACTACTGTGGGACACTACCATATGAAGGGCGCTATATAAATGCAAGTTGTTTTGTTGTTGTGTGCAAAATTGGCTGCCATGTTTGTCTCCGAATGGCTTTACGGTGAAATCTTGTGAAGCTCTTTGTGGGAAATTTCAAAGATGTGATGAGGCTCTGTGTCAGATGCAAGGATTATTATTATTATTATTAGAATTTCCACCTGAAGAATGATCGGACGGATTTGCTTGTGTGATACTCACTCGGCGGGACATGGCTCAGTGTTGCACGCGCGCTGTTTTGCAGGCGGCTTGTTCTCACTGTCACAGTAACGGGCTGAAACGGCAGAGTTTTCATCCAGTTTTTGGCACACAATAGTCTGGACCTGGGTACCTACGGGAGAGGGAGAGAGAGGTTGCCGGCAGGTGTGGGTAGTGTTCTTTTAGGGTCGGAGATCGAATGCAGCCCATCACATTGTCCAGATAATCCACGTAATCCGAGCTTGTGATTCCCGCACAAATACGCAAGGGAAGGGAGTTTCTCCCCGGGTGTCTGAGTGAACAATCCCCCAGATAAATTGGTCACACTCTTGTGGGACATCGCTGTGTACAAAATTGGCTGTCGTTTTTGCCTTCAAAATACACTTTTGTCATTGAATTGACGGTCAGATCTTGTGAAGATGCGACGCATTACGGTGAATCCCGCAAAACTCGTTGAGACTTCCCAACAATAATTTATTGTAAAGTGTGGTGTCTGTGGATTTGTAGGCGAATCCTTCCGGGAGGGAGGATGTTCTATCCCAGCAATTTCTTCGGATCTCAGAGTGTGCGTTGGGTTAACTGCTGGGGTTTAACCAGCTAAAACTGCACAGCTAAAACTTGCCAGCTAGGACCAACTTACTTGTTGGAGTTGACCAGCCTTTAGTCTCGCCCCATTACAAGCTATGAGTATAACTGCCAGAAGCACCTTACTTGTCTGGGCACAAACATCTCTGCGGTCACCTATAAATAGGGTTAATCTTTACAGTGTATTAAGAACAGTGTGTTACCTTAAAGCAAAGTTTTCATACATACAATTTCCTCCGGGGCTGAGGCCAAAAGAAGGATAACCATTTTTGTTGTTGTAATATAATAATCCTTACATTTGGTACAGGGACTTTCATCTGCGCTTCACAGGATTTACTGTGAATTTGTCTGTAAATGCGTCAGCCCATTTGTGCACAGCAAAGTCCTACAAACAACCATGAAATGAATGACCAATCATTTATTTAGGGGGTTATTGGCCCGGCCACCGGGAGAAACTCCTTTCACTTTTGTTAAGGACTGTTAAGGGTCGAAAGGCAAAATGGGTTTGGCAGTCTAGTTCCTAGTTGGCTCAGGTCCACGGGAAAAAGCTGCTTAGATTTGCCAGTCTTACTTCCAAAACAGGTCGTGAGTAGAATGGGACTGTTGTTCTAATCCAGCAGACTTCAGACGCAGTGCTGCCCGATATTGGAACATTAATGGATGAATGTGGTTATGGATAAATCTGTACCATAGCTGAAATGGTTATTGGGTGGAAGTTACGGAATATTAGATTCTTTTCATTGCTATTCCTCTCCTCAGTAAACACCCTATTTTTTATCAGTCATCATAACCATGATGATAATAATCTTTGCATTTTATATAGAGCCTTAACACATCATTGAGACGTCTCAAAGCGCTTCACAGAATATACCGTAAAGTGAATTGACTGTGTATTTTGTGGTTGAAACGCGGCAGCAGCCAATTAAATAGACTGTACAGCACAGAAACAGATCATTCGCCTTGACCGGTCCATGTCAGTGTTTGTACTCCACAGAAGCCTCCTCATGGCTTCTCCTCTATCCCCTTATTCTCCTCTCCCTCATACATACATCAAGTTTCCTCTTAAATCCATTGATGCATTTTGTTTCAACCATGGCATCCACATTCTAAGGAGGTAAAGAAGATTCTCCTAAAACTCTTAGTCTTGCTTGCGGCCCTCTTATATTTATGCCGAGCACTCTGGGACGCAAATTGTTGTTGTTGGTTGTACGCCCCATCGTGTTTGACTCACCAACAAGTGGAACCAGACTACCAACGCTCACAAGTCTCTCTGTACGTCACCTCTTACCTCCTGCACAAATAGCCGAACACTTGGACCACAACCTGTAGTTCCACCCATAGCCAGCTATTGTCCCCTGACGGTTTGTGCGTGTGATGGGGGTGTTGAATTTGTAATGTATACGTTGGTTTTCTTCTCGAACTAACACCTGGGTACAAAATAGACATCAGAAATCCACTTGTTCAAAGCACTTTCTGCAGATCCGACTGTACGAGCGTTAAAAACTACAATTAGAGCATTAAATCAGAGGCAAGACGGCACATGATTTTCGCTGCAATACCACCATAAGTAAAGCGGCTTCTAAAAATAACAACGTAATAATAATCTCCTTGCATTTCGTCGGGAGGACATCTCAAAGCTCTTCACACAATGCATGTGAGGTGGAGTGACCGTGTCTTTGTGGGTGACGTGTAAAATGCAGACCTCTTTGAGGAGAGTTTTAACATCACACTGTAAGTTAAATTTCCACATGAGCAAACCAGCAAAAATCTGCCATTGGAAGGAATTCATAATTCACGCACATCGCTCAAACGCAAAATCATGTGAAATGCAAAGCGACCCTTGAAATACGCAACAAACAATTTAAATTTATATAGTGCCTTTCACATTGGCAGGATGTCTCAAAGTGTGCTTCACGGAACCAGCTTGGAGCCCGAGCAGAGGGTGGAGGGAGTGGGAGAAAGAGAGAGTGTGTGTGTGTGTGTTTGACGGGGAAAGCAATCAAAAGCGCAGTTGAAAATTCTTAAGGTGGGCTTTGAAGGTGGGGAGACAAAGGCACTCAGGGACGGAGTTCCAGAGAGTTATTGGTGTGTGTGTGTGTGTGGGTGTGTGTGGGGGGTGGGGGGTAATGGCTGAAACCTCGCCCACTAATGGTGGGGTGAGGGGGAGTGGGGTTGGGAGGGGGGCGGGGGGGGGGGCAGAACAAGGCAGGATGATCAGAGAGAGATCAATGCTGTGGAACAAGAAGATACAAATCAGCAGTGCCAGAGATTTGCTTCTCCAGGTATCTGCCAGTCGCTGAAAACGATATTGCAGCTGTAACTATAAAAAGAACATTTGCTGCTCAAGGTGCTAAAACGTAGAGTGTGGCTGTGTTGGAATCGTCGCCAAACGATGACGAAAAGCCATATTTTCACAGATGCTTACAAGTGCCTGTTGAATCCTAAATGAAGGCAAGTGCATGAAAGGCCCTTGGCGTGCTGCAAATAGAAATATTAGAAGCTGCTTTTAGAGGTTTCGACCAAACGAGGACATCGGAGCCTGTGTGAGCAATTGCCAAAAGTCTCAGTTATGCTTAAAGCTGTTGCTCTTATCTTTGGAAATGGCAAAGTCAACTGTACCAGAGAGTTCTTGCTGGAAAAAGTAGGGTGATGTGCTTCATTGCTAGCGATGCTTATTCCAGATGGACGCACCACATACTCAGTGACCAATACATAAAGTCCAAATGTGTTGGGAATCTGTTTTGCTATTTTTACTCGATGCATCATCTCATTCTGTGCTGGAGGAACCTGCAACAATCTTTTTACTGATGGCGTAAAGCACAGTTCAGGTTTCTGTACCGTGTGCTGTTTGTGGGACGCTGCTGTGCGCAAAATGGCTGCCGCATTCTCCCTTGACATACACAGCCTTTGCATCCTGCGATGCGTTTTTGAGACATTCTCCCAGTGTGAAAGACGCTGTTTCAAGAGTAAGGATCAGTATGATTATTTAGACCTTCCTGCTTCCAGCTTTGTTCAACTGTTAAAACTAATCTTTGATAGAAGTCTACATTTTAATACACGTCCTTCACCTTTCGACAGGGATCAGATTCTCCTCTGGCTTAAATTATCCTCAGTATCTCCCGTGTATATGGCTTTCAGTTCGCTTTTGACTCGTTCTCAGCATTAACCTGGACCAACAATGGAAATGAGTCTTTACCATGATAACCAGAGTAGCGTTGGTAGGTCCCAGGGCTTCCAGGCACTCTGGCACATCAGCAGGTCTCCTGTAGTGAAAGGTGGTTCCAGCAACACCGAATCTCTGTGGCGCGTCTATGGACCAACCACCGTTAATAAAGTATTCCTCACCCTCGGATTTCAGTGCTTGAAAATGAATTGGAGGGAAAAAGAAAAGTCAATTGCTTGGAAGTGGTGTCAAATCTCTTTAGCAACCGACATCAACATAGAACCAAGAGGCAATTTCGTAGCCTTGCACAGTGCTAGATTAGCATGGAAACAGGCCACACGTACGGCACATTAACTCTGCACTGAGTATTTCTCTCCACATGAGATTCCATCGTGATTTAATCACCCGCAAAATATACAGCTAATTCACTTTACGATCTATTCTGTGGAGCGATTTCAGACGTCTCGAAAACGTGATAAGGCGCTATGTTGAAATGCAAGGGTTGTATCATTATATAAACCCGCTCTGCTGCTCTTTATCACCCATTGAACCTTCCTGATTTCAAGGAAGGTTCAGTGATGGGTCAGGTGGCTTGTTTCTGTCTGGTAACCCTCCCTGATTCTATGACCTGAGAACTCTCTTTGTGAGTTCTCCCTCTTGGGGTTCAACTCTGATAAACGTGGGTAAGGTAAGGCAAGGCTCGATTAAGTGATCTGCTGATAGACACTGTAGATATTACATGGTGTTAGTGGGTTGAGGATGTTGTGTTTGCGATACTGCAATAAAGCGGGGCTGAAGTAATAAAGGGAGGAGAGATCATCCCATTCAAAGAAAATATATCACTGCGTCTTGCATATATCTTATTTCGCCTTGTTCTATATTGTCCCCCACTGTGTTTAATGAAAATGAAATCAAGCTAATTGAAATGTGGTCAGCTTGGCCACATTAAGTTGTAAAAAAAAAGTTTAAAGTTAGGTCCTGGACAGGCTCCAAAAAGCACAGGAATAGTGAGTCAGAGCAGTGAGAGGGAGCGAGCTACAATGCTACAACACTCAGGGATCCAGAACCAGATGTTGCATGCTGAACGTTTTAATGGGAAGATGCTTTTGTTTATGCGGCAATTTTTCACGTTAGTTCTGCTCTCCTGTGGTATTGGCCTCGGAGGCTTTATCTGGGTTTGGATCGAGTTATTGAAGAAAGCTACAGCCAACTAATAACCTCCTAAATCGAAAGAAAAATCGAGAGTGACAATTTAGCAGAACATTGTTCAAAGGATGAGACAAGAGTCTTGTAGAATGAAGCAGTAAGATCCTTGTGTGTGTGTGTGTGTGTGTGTGTATATACACATATATATAAAGGGAATACCACAAACTATTTTGACTGCACAGATGAATGAAATAGATTATGATCCAACTTGTATTATTTGGTGTGTAAATATATGCCAGTGCAGACATTCTATTAGACAGGATCCTAATTAAAGTATTGACGGATTGCTGACTAAAGGCTGTTGGAACGACATGTCTGTCTTGCAGGGAAGAAAATAAACAAAGGGAAAAGACATGGACAGTGAGTAGTAAGCAATCGGAAAGACTGCAAAGTACGTTACCCGTTGGACTGTGTTTCAAGCCAGTAACATATTCGGTTGCATTGATGATCGAAGTGCATCAACTACTCTGTCATTTGTTTCTTTGCTCAGCTGGGAATCTGACACACGTGGAAACCTAGAACATCCCTTAAGGGTTTCGGAGCCTAATTGAGAGTTCCAGGTTTGCCACCTACACAGGGAATTCCATTCGCAACATAGGGAAATCCCTGTGTTGAGAATGGAACTCACACACTCTCCTCAGGCGTATACGCACCCTGTTTACCTAATTTCAGAGAGTATTATGGTGCAGGTTGGTGAGAGCCAAGGCTTGGGGAACTTAGAGTGTTAAGAGAAGCATCCATAATCCTAGTGACTTGATTGTGATGCCTGAATAGAATCACAGAACCTTATCAACAACTACAACAACAACTTGCACTTATATAGCGCCCTCCACGCAGGTTAGCATCTCAGAGCGCTTGTCTATAGTGCAGAAGGAGGCCATTCAGCCCATCGAGTCTGCACTAGCTCTCTGGGCAAGCTGTCCATACAATCCCACTCACTCACCCCATCCCCATTCCCCTTCAAGCCATGTTACTTACCAAGGTAGTTCTGGGATATATTTAGTTCTCGTATTTCGATGTGTACTGACCCACGGGGAATATGGATAACCTCTATATAATCTGAAAGGAATACACAGATGTGATTAGATTAGAAGATTGAGGTTGGACAATGCTTAAGACTTCTCCTTTGGTGATTTAGCCCTTGCCAGTGTTACTACTGCAAATCAGGATACAATATAAGGCCAATAAACACCATACCAACATCAGAACAGTTCCTTTGCAGATCTAATACCATACCAACATATCTGAGACATGAAACCGAGATCCCGTCTGTCTGGTGAACGTTAACGATCCCGTGGCAATATTCGAAAAGACAAGTGGAGTTTCTCCCTGTGTCCTGCCTAACGATCCCCCAAGAAAGCTTGGGAGACGTCAGTGCATAGATTGGCTGCCAGGTACGTAACACACAATGAATAAGCACTCCGGGACGCTACCCTGCATTAAGAGCAAGTTGTTGTTGTTGAAGCGTTTTGAGACGTCCTCCGGACGCGAAAGGTGTCCTGAGGACATCTCAAAACGCTTCAATGTAAGGATTGTGAATTATGTTTTGCGTCGTGGGACGGTTCAATCCACTGAGTTGCTTTCAGTGCCTTGCCAGCTAAAGGCTTTCAATACCACTGGCTGTGAGAAAAGCGATACACAATTATCCTCGGAAATTCCTGAAGGATTTCATGGATCAACATCCAGCGCAACAAGCTCAAGAGCGTTACTCATAGGGATTACTTTGTCTGTAGATGCAGTGTGTTCCAAGGCAATTATGTTCCATCCATCTGTCCATGCAGCTTTTTTTTTTTTCGTGGGCAGCCAACGCATTTCGACATGTTAGTTTAAGCTTTGGTTACTGCACACTGTGGCTTGGCAAGTCAAACATACCCAGCCCACAGCAGGCAAACAAACAGCTCGTGTCATGTCTCAACATTTCAGCTGCAGTATTTCCATTTGCTGGCCTCCGTATTATGGTTCTAACAACAACAAAATCATCGATTTCAATAAAATATATATATATGTGTGTGTGTATAAAAAACCGCAGATGACACTTAATTAACCTGTGCAAATCATTAGTTAGACCGCAGGTAGAATATTATGTCCTCATCTTTAAAGCCCTTCACGGTCTCGCTCCTCCCTACCTTCTGTGACCTAAAATGTCACCAACCCGTCTGCTCCCTCCCCTCTGAGGCATTGGCCTGCTCCATGTCCCCCACCCAGTTTGCTTCACCATTGGGGGTTAGGCTTTCAGCCTTTCCACCCTCTGGAACTCCATCCCAGAGCCCCTCCACACTTTCCTCCTTCAAGGCCTTCCTTCTGACCATGCCTTCGGTCATCTTCCCTCCTCCACCCCTCCTTGATCTCCACCCCTCTGTTATCCCAACCCGCAGCTCGGGTGCAAAGCCCTCATTGTCCAGCGCCTTGGGACATCCTCCTGACGTGAAAGGCGCTGTATAAATGCCATTTGTTGTTATATGTTCAGTTTTGGTCACCTCACTTTAGGAAGAACATCAGGGACATAGCAAGGGTGTAGAGGAGAATCACTTGGGATGATACTGAGCATGAATGGTTTGACCTGTGAGCGGAGATTGAATGAACTGGTCTGATTTTCATTGGGATGGAGAAGGTAGAGGGGAGAGCTGATCAATGGATTTTGATAGGGAGAAATTATTTCCCCTAATAGGTGAGCCAGTGATGAAAGGACATCAATGTATGATAGTTAACAACGGAGCAAATGCAACAACAACTTGCATTTATATAGCCCCCTTCACGCAGGGTGGCATCCTGGAACACTGAGAAAGATTAGAAGATTTTTTTTTACACACACACACACGGAATTGTTAAGATGTGGCATTTCCTTCCAGGTTGTTATAATCATAATAATATAATTATTATAATAATAATCAACATGCAATTCCATTCTTCAGCTTATCGTTAGTTTCAGAATGCAAGGTGATTTGAATAGGTTGAGACAGGATAACAATAATAATCCTTGCATTTGATATAGTGCTTTAACACTTCTTCGAGACCTCTCAAAGCGCTTCACAGAATGTACCGTAAAGGGAATTGACTGTATATTTTGTGGGTGAAACTTGGCAGCCAAGCGCACGTAGCAGTCTCCCACAAACAATCCTTGATTGAAGCGACCATTTTTATTATTATTATTTTTTTTGGAAGGAATTATTACCCCTGGAAAAGCAATCAGCCAATCGACTAACAACCAGGTTCCTACTTACTGCTCGGTAAACAGAGGCGTGTGGAGTGAGGAAACTTGCCCAGCATTTCGCTCTGTCTGGGAATTGAACCCAGGTCTCTCTCAGTGGTTTGAGCACTCGTTAAAAGGCGAGCGCTCTAACCACCGAGCTACAGGACTCCATCCACACAAACTTGGGCTAATTGCAAGGGGATAGAAATGCAGACTGCTGACAAAAAGGGCAGAAACGCAGGCCACATTATAAAAGGTTTCTCCTGCCCATGAATTTCCTTTACAAAACCAGACATTTGCTCAAAATTGTTGGTGAAAACCTGTCGAAAATCATTTGTCACCCAGCTGTATACTTTTCCAACAAAACGATCAGTTCTTTGCTGGATTGTTATCACTTTCTCCCTAGTTGGCCGCAGAACGACTTGCATTTCCGTTCCACAACCGCTAATTGTGAGACTTTTTGCCGCCTACTATTTCCCCGTGTGTTTTTTTGTTGGGAAGCAAACTTTTTTTTCCTTTTTACTTTTAAAAAAAATCAATAAATAAAAGCTGTACATTTTTTTTCCGCCCGGCTCCTTCAGTAACACGCAAGTCAAACTCTTGTTAATAGGGATGAGCAAAGAAAGGGGAACGAATTATGTGCTGAAAACAGCTGTGTAAACGCGCAACTTTTGGAATTAATGATAACAAAGCTCAAAGACGTCCTGCACTTGAAACAGCGCTTTTCACGTTGGAGGACGTCTCAAAAAGCACTTCACAGGATCCGCTGTAGAGTGTAGCGACTTTATATTTTGTAGGCAAACGCGGCAACCAATTTCTGCACAGCACCAGCCCACAAATGTGAGGTTTGTTGGCCGGGACACTGGGAGAAACTCCCTTTCTTTTCCACCAGTGTCATGGTGTCTTGAACGTCCACCTGAACAAGGAGGTAGGACCTCAGTTTAATGTCTCACCTGAAGGATGCCACTTCTCCCCCCTGCACTGAAGTGCCAGACTAGGCCGTGAGCTCAAAGTCCCAACGGGGGCTTGAACCCACAACCTTCTGACTCAAAGACGAGAGCGCTACCCACTGCGCCAGCCTGACACGTGACATGTCTCTCCGGCTTTACAGTTCACGGTTGCGGTTGCTTGGATTTTTCTTACCCCCCTCGGAAACTGAGTCATTGAAGATTCCTTCAACGGTTTCGCAAGAGCTGCCGTCCCCACCGCAGATCCGACACCGGTCTTCCTTTACGTCGGAGGCCAGAATGTGATCACAGCCGACGTGCTGCGGGGAACAGAGGAGCAAACGTCAGGTTATTCTTGTAAAGTGACCCTCGGCCGATCACGAGAGAGGCACAGATAAAGAAACATCCATTGTAATATTCAATCTCATCCTCCCAGATTACCGTCTTCCCATCACTGATCAAACTATTTCTTAAAGGGTTCCACAACCTGGTACCTACCACCTTTACTCCTATCCAGTTTCAGGTTGTTTAATCTCCAGGTAAAGACATGTGTCCTGGCATCTGTCCCTTCATCTTCCTGAACCTGTACCCTCTTGTCCCGCTGCCTTGATGTACCTGTAATACTTCTTGCATAAGGCGTCTTATCATGTTGTCAAAGTGTCTCAAAGCACTTTACACTGTAATTGAAGGCAAATATGGCAGCCCATTTGCACCCAACAATGTTCCACAAACAGTCATGAAGTGAAGGACTAATTTTATCTGGGGGGATTGTTGGCCAAGATTGGGGGTGGGTTTCTGGGATCTGCCCCTATATTGGGGATGGGTTTTCAGGACACACCGTACTGGGGGGTTTTCTGGGATTGGGTCGTTTTTTGGGAACCCCAATTAATCAATCGTCGCACTTTGAGATGTCCCATCGTGATGAAGACACAGTGGAAACAGCGAGTTGCTTCTGTTATTGGAAATATCCCTCCCAGTTGATGGGAGAGTTTGCACGTTTTGGACTGTGAAGTGGCTACAGGCACATCAAAACCGAGTCCGTAACGTTCAACATCTGCAGCGCTCAGTTGTCAAAACGCCGCAAAATTCATTGGTAGCCGTGAGCTACTGAGCGTGAGCAGCAGCGTAGTCTCCAGGCCTAGTATTGGAAACATGGTCATCATTAATCACATTGACAGTTTTATAACCTCTAGCCCTGGGCTGATTACATGCTTCCCTTAGAACAACATAGACACTGTATCACGCGGTGCTCAAGTCAATGGCACGCTTGCCTTCGGCAGGAAAAGTGCACATAGGATCGCCATTTCCTGCTACAGGATTGCACGCTCACAGCAAAGCAGCCAGTAAGTAGCAGGACTTCACAGAAATCTCAGCGCAGATGACCATTTGGCCCATGTAGCTTGTACCATGCCAGCTTCCCAAAGCACTTTGAAAGTTGAGTTTAAGACAGTGTTTTTGCCCACAAAACATACAGTCACTCCACTTTACAGTGTATTCTGTGAAACCCTTTGAGACGTCTCGAAGACGCGCTGAGGCGCTGTATCAAATGCAAGGATTATTATTATTATGAAGTGAGTTTCCTGTGGTGACATTACGATGACATGGTGGTGGTGGTGTTGGTGCTGGCGTGGTGGGGGGTGGGGGGTGTTAGGGGCAGGAGAGAAACCGATAATAGCCGTCCAAATTAAAGTTAAAAATCCAAACATCTTATGGTATAACTTTCACCCGATTTGAGAAGTAGCTCATTGAACAAGTCTTCCACACAGTATTCAGTCAGTCCAAGAACAGGATAAACTCTGCACGGGACAGCTGCAAGCTCAATGCAATATCTTATGTGATGATTGATTTGCTGCACTGATATCTCACAAGTCTCCTTTCACCGACCCCGATTGGTTATTTGTAACTCACACATTTGCTTCTGTTCTGCATTTTTTTTTCTTAGTCTTCATTTTATTCAAAGACCTTAAATCACTCCTCAGAAGAATGATCAAGAAATACAATCTCGCTGTCTGGTCAGTGCACATTAAACCACTTCCACAGAAGAACACTTTATTTATGGATGGCTACAACAGCTGGCTCGATGCTGTAGGTTCTTGCAAACAACATGGGGCCTTCATTCAACTCTTGCCTCTTCCTTTGGCAACCGGCTTTTATGATTGGAATCTGCCAGATGAAAATTTGGACTGCTATTCTCGCTCTGGTGTAAAGTTGCATCAGGGTCCAAAGCCCTTGACAAATACTGTCTACTCCAAGATACGGGAACAATAGCTAGGTGGTTTAAGGGTTTATATAACGTATATTATAATCCTTGCATTTGATATAGCATCAAGATGTCTCAAAGTGCTTCATAGGAATTTATTGTGTGCGGTGACTGAATATTTGTAGGCGAAATGCTGCAGCCAATTTGCGCACAGCAATGACCCGCAAACACCATGAACTGAGTGACTGATATTATTTGTGGAATATTTTACCAGGATCCTTCTCTTTCTGAATAGTGCAATAACATCCACCTGCATAGGCAGACGGAACCTGGGGTTAACGTCTCATCCACTGGATGGCACTTCCAAAATCCAGTGCCCGAGCACTGGATTGAAGTCCCAGCGTGGACTGTGAGTTCATAGGTCTGATGTGAAGCTTGAACCCACAACCTCCTGACTCAGAGCTGATAGTGCTACCAACCATACCAGCCTGACTCCCTTTAAGTAGATTTTCAGAAACACGTTCCCTTGTGTTTCCGTTGACTTGGATTTTCAGCAGATATCTGCTGAAGTTCCACACGCCAATGTTTAAAATAATAATAGTAATAATTACAATAATCCTTGCATCTGATACAGGACCTTATCATGTCTTCGAGACGTCTCAAAGCGCTTCACGGAATACACAGTAAAGTGAATTGACTGTATACTTTGTGGGCGAAGCGCGGCAGCCGATGGCACATGGCAGATCTGTACTCGGGTTCAGTTTGGGCTTTCAGATTCTTTATTTAACTTAACAATTAATCTTGTTTTTTGTAGAAAAAAAGGTTTTGGGGGGGAAAAAAAACTCCCTAAAAATGTCAAAAACCTCCCTTGAAAAAAACCGCAATATCGTTTGAAGCAAATGCCACATTTTTCTCGACGGAATTGAATGTCTTGGAGATTAACAACACGTGTCTGAAAAAAAAAAAACGGGTTCTGGCAACACCATACCTTACATTCTCCACTGACACATATATCAAGTGAATCCAGACGGCATGAAGTACCATCCACCACAGCTGGAGAACGCTCAGTGTAGAAATTGAAGCCCTCGGCCAGACAGTTCAAAGCACAAGGCTTCACGCCACCTGTTGCAAAACAAGAAAAGGTCTGGATTCACTTGACGCACGCGAGATGGAAAGAGAAAACTGTCGAAGGTACATGATCATCATAATATTAATAATAATAATCCTTGCATTTGATATAGTGCCTTCGAGACCCGTCTCAAAGCGCTTCACAGAATATACTGTAAAGTGAGTTGGCTGTATATTTTGTGGGTGAAACGCGGCAGCCAATTGCATACGGCAGTGTCCCTACAAACGGCCGTGGACTGAAGTGATCAATTTATTATTATTAATTTTTGGAAGGAATCATTAGCGATCCGCCAATCGACTAACAACCGGGTTCAGTAAAGTGAACTGACTGTGTATTATCACTGTTCCGATAACGTCTCTTTCTCTTACGCATATACAGACGAGTCCAAATTGCAAAAGGAAATTTGTGGATGCCTTGAATAGAATTAATAATAATAATAATACTTGCATTTGATATAGAATTACATAGAATATACAGCATAGAAACAGGCCATTCAGCCCAACTGGTCTACGCCGGCGGTTATGTTCCATATGAGCCTCCTCCTGCCCTTCCTCAAATACGCTTATCAGTAATAATAGTAATAATAAAATAATAACAATACTTGCAATCTGGTGCCAAGTCTAAAAGTATCACGCAGCGTTTTCTGTAAAGTGTAGTGACTGTGTATTTTGTAGGCGAGTGCGGCAGCCAATTTGCATACAGCCGTGTCCCTCAAACAAGCGTGTCCCTCAAACAAACAACAACAAGATTACATTTGTATAGCGCCTTTCACATCAGGAGGACGTCCCAGGGCGCTGAACTCCCAGACACTACCCCACACGTAAGGAGCTATATAAATACAAGTTGCTGTTGATGTGTTTGGATTTTTTGGAGGCAAAATGAAAAGCAACGGCTCGGCTTACACGAGCAAAAGATATTTAATTAGACATCCCTGGAGACCCACACCTTACCTAAAGTTTTTGCGTATGCGTTAAACATTCATTTCAGAATAAATTGTAAATCAGTGCGCTGACATTAAATCCCCGTGAAGCACTTGGAAACATTTCAATGCCATAAGGTGGAGTGAATTTGCAGTTAGTTTGTCATCGATGTCGAAACGTGCTGTTTGCTGATGCTAATGTACTTTCCATTCTGCCCTTCCAATGGGATTGCAACATAAATTTAATCCACCAGCTATCAGCAGACCACTCCTGTTACAATCCATATAATTAAGTCTGAGCCGAACATAGGAAATGTGGTTTCACCTCTCATCAATTTTGATGCTAAGGCACTGATGCAGGTCTCTGAGAATGAGTCTCTGTGAGTTTTAGGTTACTCTTCTTGGCTTGTGGTTAAGGAACGGAAACCCAGAGTGAAATGCAGCCCAATGGAAGCAAAGAACACATCATTTATTTACATTTATTGCTGGGAATTCCGTGATTCCCTCCCAGCAGTAAAACAATGTGGAGCTTATTTCAACTTCCTCCTCCGCATTGCGTCAGTTTTTTTTTCCCCCTCAAAAAATAGAGAATAATAAGTAGAATCTTTGCGTTTGATACAGCGCTTGATCACCTCGGCAAAACGTCTCCAAGTGCTTCACAGGACTTTTGCTGTGAAGTTTAGTGGCTGTGTATTTTACAGGCAAAAGCAGCACTCAATTGTATCTGGGTGATTGTTTGGCCAAGATGCCGGGAGAAATTCTTTTCTCTTTTCGAAGAGTGCCATGGGATCTTTAACGTCCACCTGAACAGGCAGATGTGACCTCAGTTTGATGTTTCAACCAAAGGGCGGCACCTCAGTCCCCGTCAGCGCTGCACGAGAGTATCAGCCTTAGACCAATAATAATCTTTGCAGTTGATACAGCGCCTTATCACGTCTTCGAGACGTCTCAAAGTGCTTCACACAATATATTGTAAAGTGAATTGACTATATTTTGTGGGCGAAACGCGGCAGCCAACTGTGCACAGCAGCGTCCCGGCAAACAGCCGTGGATTGAGTTGTGGACCAAATTAATATCAATTATTTATTTATTTTGAAGGGATTATTACTCCCGGAAAAGCGATCCGCCAATCGACTAACAACCGGGTTCGTACTTACTGCTTGGTGGAGTAAGAAAACTTTCCTAAGGTTTCGCCCGCCCGGGAATCGAGCCCAAGTCTCTCGCTTGTGAGGCGAGTGCTCTAACCACTGAGCTACAAATACCCAACATGGGCGCAGGAACCTACAACCTTCTGACTCAAGAGGCGAGAGTGCTATCCACTGAGCCAGACTGACATCTAATTGTTGGCTCAGGGCATTTAATATGTGAGGTGTTGGAAGAGAAAGTACCAAAGCCATGACAATGAGATGCTGACTTTCAACTGAAAGCTATTCTGTTCTACCTCTGGTTTACAGTTTCTTCTGAAAACACAGACGCACACACCAAACTGCTGACAAAGCAAGATAATGCAATCCCGGAATTTTTTCCCCCCACCATGTCGGAACATTATTGATGCGGTATCACTGGGCCTCGGTTCGCTCAAACACATCCAGATGCAAGTTATCGTTTCAACATTTTTCAAGCGGTCGATTGTCTTTTTTGATGCAGTTGGAAACAAAGGCAGCGGCAGGTGTGCAGCGAAACCCCATCGGGTGTCAATTAAACACACAGACACTTGGCCGAAGCTAAAGTCCGAGGCTTTGTGTTGTACGCCGTCCTGTCAAGACACTTTTCAGCAAAATTCTATCCGCGTTATGATAAATGTAATTATTGCTGAAACAAGGCAGAGTAATGAGGCAGCAAATGGTGCCCGTAATGAGCTCATGTTTTGCATTAACGCAAAACATGACCCCAGTTAAGAACTTTAACTGGATTTTTACTGCATTTGCCGCGTGTTAAATACGATAACAACTTGCATTTGTAGAGCGCCCTTCACTTTAGCGTGGTAGCGCGTCAGAGCAGGTAAGCTGATTTCGACGACAATAACAACTTGCATTTAATTAGCGCACTTTACGCAGGGCTGCCCAATAATCCCCCCACCACCACCACCCCCAGATAAAAAGTGGTCATTCACTTTCACGGCTGTTTGTGCTACACTGCTGTGTGCAAATTGTTCACTTACGAAAACACAGTCACTACACTTTGCAGTGAATCCTGTGAAGCGCTTTGAAAGTTTGGAATGGCGATAAGGCACTATGTCAAATGCAAAAATTATTTCACTCACTGTATGTATAAATGGGGATGCACTGCTGTGCGCAATTGGCTGCCGCATTTCTCCCACAAAATCCGCAGTCATTGGACTTTACAGTATCTGCCGTGAAGTGCTTTGAGACATCTTGAGGACGTGATAAGGCACTGTATCAAATGCAATGATTATTATTTATTATTATGTATGTGTTGTTTCATTTTGGCACAATGTCTTAAAGACTCACAGGGAGGAATAGCACCTTTGCCAGTGAAGTTACCTTGCCCTTTTATGAGGAACATCTTTGTCTGGTTATGAGAGTGAAATGTAAGACTTAGCGTCTTCTCCGCTGACTGGAGACTGCAGCTTGTGAACTCATGCGGAGATATTTTGTGATTCTCATAAGTCTATCTGACAATCTGCTTAAGCGATAAAACAAATGGTTTAAAAACTCGCAGGAGACTGAATCCAAAAGGTCTGTTGTTAACTGTATGTTCCTGCTCATTCGGTGCTTGTGAGCTTCACAAAGTTTACTGCAGATCTTGCAATTTGCCATTTCAGTACAATCCTGAGAGTATTCTGTGCTTAGTTTAGAAACATAGGAACACAGGAGCAGAAGGAGGCCATTCAGCCATTGAGCCTGTTCCACCAGTTCATTAGATCTGGGCAGATCTTTTAATCACAATGCCTTGCCATACCCCTCAAAACCTCTATCACACGAGTGTCGGTCTCTATTGATTCCACAGCTGAGTGACCCACATCCTCCCAACCCTCTGTGTGAAGAAACCCTTGCTGGCCTCAGCTCTAACTCTCTTGGTTCTCATTTTAAAGCTGTGCTTTTGTTACAGATCCCACCAGCACAGAGGGCAGAGTCGTCCGCTATCTAACCTGTCATTCCCTTTCATTATTTGAAATACCTCAATCACATCGCTCCTTAACCTCCTTTGAACTGATAAGCACAATGGGGTCTGCCCAGCCTCTTATCGTAGCTAAGCCCACACAGCCCAGGCGTTGACCGAGTGACCTGTCACTAGCCAGGATAAGAACTCACCTCCACGGTATGGTTTCCAATTGTAGAACTTCCCTCGAAAGGCGATACTGTCGAACTCTCCACACTGCTTTTCTCGGAAGTCTTGAGAGCCCGGCAGACAATCCTACATCAAAAACACATGGGTTTGAAACAAATGAACGGCTCATAACCTTAAAGCGCTGTTCCGAATCCAAGGATTATATTAGAAGATTTCTGCCTTCAGGAAAATAGCAGCTTCACATTGCCCAAGGTGGTGTGACAAGAGATGTTTGGTGTCCGACTCGTGTCTCACTGCCACCACGTGTTTTGTCGTCGACATTCCCACGCCTGCACATTATTCAACTGGTAACAAAGGGCAAAATATACGTACGTCGATGTTACAGGATCGAAAGCGTTTCCTCTCTCCGAGACAATATCTCCCCCCAACAGTTGGCCTAGAAAGAAAGACACGTTTAATAACGAAATCCCCGGCCTGTGCTGTGTGGCAACCAATTTTATGGTGAGGTCAACAAGTGAGTTACATTCCCAACCCCGATGGGCAATAATATGGTTGCTCTGGTGATAGGTTTATGTTTAGCGGGGACTCCCATGGAGCTGAACTGGCTCCAAGGTGACGAGCTTGGCAACGGAATGTCGGAATCGAGCCATTTCTCTGCGGGGATCTGAGTAGTCCATTTCCTGAGCCAGGAGGGTCCGCAGTATACCAGGGCACCGTTGATGACAATACAGCCAGTATGGGGAAAGTACAGGACGATGACCACTCAGTCCAGGCCTTGAGATCACTCCATTTGTCCTCACTATCTTCTTGCAAAGCGAAGCACAGTGAATGAGGGGGAAAAAGAAAGTGGGTGCCACAGAAAATCATTGTTACTGGATGACTTACTTCCATTGTCAGAGTTATCTTATAGGATGTATCTACCTACCTGGGATTGTCACACTGTCTGACAGAAGATGAGACGCCCCCTCCACACGTTCTGCTACACTCCCTCCACGGCGACCACGCTCCCCAGGCTCCGTCCACGCCCTCTGGTCTGGTCCCAAACGGCACGCAGTCTCTCTTGTAGCACCACTGCAACAGAAATGTTCATTTCAAATCCCACAAATGCCCAGTCACTCCACTTCATACTAAATCCTGTGAAGCACTTGCGGGGATGTCCTTCGACATGAGAGGTGCTAGGTTTAATAATAATAATAATAATCCTTGCATTTGATATGGCATCGTACCACATTGTTGAGACGTCTCAAAGCGCTTCACAGAATGCACTATAAAATGGATCGACTGTGTATTTTGTGGGCGAAACGCGGCAGCCAATTGCGCACGGGCAGTGTCGGGCAAATAGTCATGGATTGAGTGACCCATTTTTTTTTTTGCGGGAATATTAGCCCCAGAAAGCGATCCTCCAATCGACTAGCAACTGGGTTCCTGCTTACTGCCAGGTAAACAGAGGCGCGTGGAGTAAGGAAACTTGCGTAAGGTTTCACCCTGCCCGGGAATCGAACCCGGGTCCTCTCGCTTGCGAGGCGAATCCACAGGATTGTTATTAAGTGCTGGAATATGCCAACTGCCAGATAAGATCTTAAAAATCACCTCACTTCCCTCAACATGCCGGCCTAGGTTCACATCCCTGGCATCCTGTTTGCTCCCTTAAAACCCTGGAAATAATAAACCAACGGTTTCTCGTCGACTGCCCAGCGGGAGAAACCAAAGCTCCTCCGCGTTGGTTTGTGCTACATTTGCATGTTGCAAGCGCAGTGAGCTACACCAGAACCCGGTTGGCCCCCGAGATTTCGGAGCAAGTTCACGAACAGTATACAATACCAAAAGGTTTAAAGGTCGAACAAGCTCTAATTGGAGCCAGCAGGGCACTTTCACCCACATATGTTTAGCAAAGCCGAACGCACATCCTGACAGACAAACATGGGTGTGCTTGGCAAACCTCAAACTGAAAGGAGGCCCTGAAAGTGTTTAGATTTCTTAAATAACCCGGAGCTGGAGGTTAATTAGAACTTTGCAGGCCTTCTGGCTGGGTCTCTCCCTTATGTGCAAAAGTGTTGCAATAGTTTTGCTGAAACGTGGGTCAAATGTGACTGGGAAATTAAAGTAGATCTGCAAGTTTAAAAACCTGAACCGCTGACGAAAAACAGACACCGTACTGTGGATAAACATGGAGGCGACTTAAAAAAAAAACCCGTACGCTGATTCTGGACACAACACGGCCTTTGTGAAGGATTGTTCCGAAGTGTTAACTGAACCGCCACTCATCACGGGCGGAGTGAAGTGTTACTCACCCCTTTTTCAATAGTGTTTGACTGGCAGATTGTGCCCTCTGCCGCAGGAATGCTGTTGGTGATGCAGCGGTTGCTTTTGCTCAGACACCACAGCTCGCTGCACACATCCTGCAAGTAACCGTTTAAGGATAAGTATCGCGAACCAACGGAGAGAAACCATAAACACTCGTAGCGTAAGAACGTAAAGTACACCGACTGCCATCTGCAACATTGAGGAGGTGTATATATAAAAAAAAACCTACGACGTCTCTTGACAGATTTGTGAGGAGAAATTCCACCCCAAGGGCTAGATTTACTCTGTTTATTTAGTGTTTCGGAGAGTTCATGATTTGGCAAGTTTTCAAATAAAGACTTGATTTTGAAGCCGTTTTTTTTTGGGGTGGAGGGGGGGTGGTGAGTTTTCTTTCCAAGATTACATAAAAACAGCTTCAAATTTAAGACTGAACTTGATGAATTCTGAACGCTATGTTAATAAAGAAACTCTTATAATAATAATAATAAAGCTTGTAATTGACATAGCGCCATTCATGTCAGGAGGACGTCTCTTCAGCGTTTCACAGGAGTCACTGTGAAGTGTAGTGATTGTGTATTTTGTTGGCGAATCTTGCCACCTTCAAGACACATCTCAAGACCCTCCTTTGCGACCGTGTCTTTGGTCACACACCTAACCCTACCCTCCCCGCCCTCCACCCCTCCTGATCCCAACCACCAGCTCGGGTGTGGATCCCTGACTCTCCAGTGCTTTGGGATGTCCTCCTGACGTGAAAGGATCAGTACAAATGGAATTTGTTGTTGTTGTTGAATCTGACCCCGAGTGGAATTTCTCCCCGCAAGCGTCTATTAAGGAAGGACTTGTTCCCGTGCACAGATAATAGTCTCGATATTTCTCGTGAAGAGTAGTAAAGCAGGAAAACTCTCTACCCCATATTTACACTGGCGTGATTTGACTCCGTACTGGAAGCGGCATTGCTCGTCAGCCTCGTACGCTTGACCCGGGGCTACAGTTGGATAAAAGAACTCCTGCTTCGGGGGTGCGTTGTTGAGACATCTACCGTGTCCTGAACTGACCAAAAAGAGAGCACTTGGTTACAAAAAAGACAAACCGGGTAAAATACAGATGGTTTGATTTGGTCTCCAATAAGAACCCTTGCATTTGAAATCGCAAGGTACATCAGTCCGGATGAAAAAGGCCCTTCGGCCCATCTAATCGCACCTTCCCAGAACACCCCACCCCACTGTCCTTCCCATCACAGCATCGAATTGCTTTGTTAAGTGCATCCCAGTGTCCTGGCCTCAACCACCAATGTGGTGGGAAGATGGTAAGGTGGGTGTTGTGGGAGGATGAAATCAAATGGCTGATGGGATTTCTTCATCCGAACCGATCTTGTGATTTGGATTTTTTTCTTTTGCGTTTTATCCTATTTTCAGGCTTCTTACTCCAAGAAGCTGGTGATGTAATCCCTGCTGCAGGTTGACCAGATGAAAGGGTTTGTTTTCACAGTGATGTGAGCGGCCATCAACTTGGCTGTTTCCTGGCCTCTTGGACCACAGGAATTTCCCACTCCGTCATGATTCATACCGAAACTGCAGAACACAGAACAAAACCCATTGTAAATAATACCAGGCACGGGCATTCTTAACACAGAAGCCAATTGCACGCAACCGCTGCTTGGCTTAATGAACGTGAAGACATTTCCTAACCCCCAGCATTGCATTGGAGTGGCAGCTTGGACTTTTTGCTTCCAAGAAAACAAAAACAGAAGTCGCTGGGAACACTCAGCAGGTCAGGCAGGATCTATGGAGAGAGGAAAGTGAGTCAAGGTTTCGGGTCCACGACCCTTTGATAGAACCCGCCTGGCCAGACCTGGCGTTCTGACAAAGGGTCATGGACCCGAACCGTTGACTCACTTTCCTTTCTCCATAGATGCTGCCTGACCTGCTGGGTGTTCCCAGCGACTTCTGTTTTGTTTTCAGATTTCCAGCATCTGCAGCGTTTTGTGTTTCGTTTATACGCTTCGAAGTCCTGACGTGAGGCTTGCACCACAACTTTCTGACTCAGAGGCGATAGTGCTAACAGCCAGCCAGTTGGGCAGGACACCAAGGAAAAAACTGTCTTCTCTTTTTGAATAGTGCATTGGGTCTTTAACGTCCACTTGAACATACAGGCCTGACCTTCGGTTTAACTGAAGGACGGCATCTTCAACCAAATGGGGCGTTTCCTCAAACAGGTCAGCGGCAGCCTAGATCATGCACTAAAAAGTCCCCCAACTCAGGATTTGAACCTACAACCTGCTGACTGAACCAAACTGACGCACAAGGAAAAACAAGGATACAGACTTAATTGTGGGGTATAAAGGTGGGGGGATTAATTGTGGGGTACAAACTCCATTATAATCATTGGGGGGGGTGGGGTGCGGTGTCTGACATATGCGGAAATCCCATCATCATGCTTAAAAGTATCCAAACCAAACTAAGAATTCCATGCATCCCACCGACACATGGAAGTCCCAGAGATAGATCGTTGGAATGCCCACTCTCTCCCTGGAGGGAGAATCTCCATTATAATTTGAACCGCAGTGGAAAGCAAGGGGACAGAAACTCTGCGATGAACTTTTCTCTCTCTTACTTGTGACCAATTTCGTGAGCGATTGTAAATGCAGTTGCCAGGCCGATGTCCTCATTGATACTGCAGCTTCTTTCCGGTTCACACATGCCACCCACTGGGGCCAGACCTGCAAGGGAATTCCTTAGTTATCTCGGGAAAGCTACAGAGGAATAAGGATCTGGAGCAATAAGTGACTTGTACTTAATAACTCAACTCTTGACAAACGTAAGGACTAGTGACAGTGCTTGGGACATCCTCCCGACGTGGAAGGCGCTATACAAATGTAATTTTGTATTGTATTGTAAAGGGAGATGATGTTACCATTAGTTTAACCAATACAGTAAACCTCACAGAAGTCATATCAGTTGGGACCATACTTTAATATGACTTATGCAAAGCATGAACTTATGTTAAACTTGCACAAGTCCTATCATACAGGACTTATGTAAAGTTATGTATAAGTTGGAATTTATATGACTAACGCATAACAAATCCAGTACACAAGTACTTGGTAAAAATTATTGAAAGTTAACTTATTGATAGTGGGGCAGGTGAGGCAAGGGGCACAAAGCAGGTCCGAGTTAGCTGAGGGCTACGGTAGTAGGGTCAAAGGAGGCCATAGAAGTAGAGTGGGGCCTTATCCAAAATCTAGTTTTTTTTTTGTAGGTTACTTTTATTCCCGGCTTTTTTGTAGTGTTACTGAAATGATTCTCGGAAGCCCTCAGTGAATAAAGCAGGAGTCCAATTCACGAGTTCCTTCAATGAACACAGCGGGAACCACTTGGGGTTTTGCATTTGCAATTCTGAACGAGGTTTTGCGATATCAGCTTTCACATGATCTCATTTGTTTTCAGAAAAGAACGCAGAGCAAAGTCACGAGCAGAAATCAAAAGGTACAAGGTCCATCCAACTCTCTGAGCCAAGGTGATAGATGATGTTGTCTTACCTAGTGTTCCACAGGGTTTGTTCTTGTAGATACAGATGTCATATCTGCAGGAGCAAAAGGCAGAGAAATGTAAGGTTGAGTGAACATCCAGGAAATCATTGGAAAACAATGATTGGAGTGTTGCCAGGTTGAAACCATTTAATGTGTCTGAGGCAATACCTCTGCAATGACTTGCAGCAGGGACACCAATAGCAAGAGTGAAAACCTACATTAAATAGTGGGTAAATGACAGAGCTGCTCAAGTGTGACGTGACTTGAAACACAAATACATGCTGGCTGCTGAAAATGCCATCAGCTCCCAATCTTTTTACTTCTTTTTAAAGTGAAGTGAAAGTGACCTCATTATCCAGTCCAATTCACCAGCAAATGTTAAACTGCTTATAGCGTTGGTCCAATTTCTGTCTAAGGAGGAACGTTTATAGGAAGGATGGTTTGCACTTAATGGTGTGGAACTCTACAAGTTGCAAATAGAAGTTCAAGTCCACTGTTACGGATGGTTAACGCTCCCGTTGGACTGAAGAGCTCTGACTTGCCTTTGGGATCTCAAATTTTTCCAATTACTTTTGGACTCCCTGCAACAGGCTTGTGTCAGCCTGCCACAGTTGGTCGTACTCTCGCCTATGAGTCAGAAAGACGTATATTCAGGCCCCATGTTGGGACAATGCACCGCTGGGAGATGGCGATGTATTTTCAGGGCTACCGTCCTTCAGCTGAGACGTTAAACCGAGGTCTCATCTGCCTGTTCAGGTGGACGTTAAATATCCTGCAGCGCTAATCGAAGAAGAGAAGAGAAGGGAGTTTCTCTCTTCTGGTGTCCTGGCCAACAATCCCCCAGATAAAACCAATCATTCTCTTCATGGCTGTTTGTGGAACACTGCTAAGTGCAAATTGGCTTCCGAGTTCACCTACAAAATGCACATTCCCTACACTTTATAGGAAATCATGTGAAGTGCCTCGAGATAATTGTCTTCCTGACGTGAAAAAAAAAGATTTTGTTTCCTTACCAAACCATTCCGTCAGTGAATACTTAACAAAAAAAGTACTCAGCCTATACGCACAATCCATAAAATTCAGGCAGTGAGCAGTGAACAAGGAGGCACGGTTAGCAATCTGTGACTGTAGAATAATTGGCTTAGAGTAAGAACTCTCATAGCATGTGGGCTGTGCATAAGCCCAGAAAACCATTCTTTCCCTCTGGGAGAGAAACCCAAATCATAGGCAGAATACCCACAGGAGAAAACCAAGGCTGGATGGATCCCGACCCACCCTCTGCTCACATGGTACTAATTGGCGTATTTCAAAACGGTGCTGGTCAAAGCTCCAGTGGAGCAGTTTCCAGTTATAATATTAATGGCTGCTGCAGGAAGCGAAAGTGACTTACGCTTCCTGCTTTCTTGTTGCTCTTGCAACAGGGCCGTTAATTGTTTGCGTTATTAAAGAGCAAATGAACTGCCTGAGAGCTTTCAAGTTCCACTGGGGGAAAGCGCTGGGCCAATTCAATTGGTGCCCGCTGAGTTTGGACTGCGGGTGGCAGGTTAACCGGCCTCTGGGACCACCTCCTCAAGGTGGTTATCAGGAGCAAAGCTCCAGTGTAAATTGGCTGGCTCGCTCAGCCGCAGTTTGTATGGCTTGTTTTGCGGTGTATCGTGGCAACCTGCGGTATTAAATGCAGCGCGGGCTAACTTTTTAATGACAGGCTGACAGCGTCTCGGGGCCAAATCCCTGACTGGCCAACGCCTTGGGATGTCCTCCCGCCCCTCCCGAAAGGCGCTGTACAAATGTAATTTGTTGTTGTTGCTGCAGTTACCAACCGCAGTTTCAGTCAGACAGACACACACACACACACACACACGCTGCAGGGATGGGAGCATTCAAGTCTCGGAGGTAGTGCATTCCTCAATCCAGCACTAAGCTGTACACTTGTGAGCTTAGCACACGGATACTTCCTCTGTTTCAGAGTTGAGTCAATGTACTCTTTGCTCCTGCCTCCCCCATCCAGACACACACACACATATACACACACACACACACACACACACCGACCTGCTAAACTGGGCATCAAAGCAATTCTTTTTAAACGAAAATAATTTCTGAGAATTGACAGTACATTGCAAAAAAAAAACCATGTTGCTGCAATTGGCAGCCGCAACTAACTGGGGATGTTGGTGACAAATTAACAACATTTGGACATATGTAATGGATTTATTTGCTGCCTGAAGCCAGCGCTGGGGAACAAATGAACTTGAATTATTAAAAACAAAGAATTTGGGTCTTGATTGGTAGCCAGCGAAAGGACATACCAAAACTTAACTCAAAAGTCTGAACACAATTTGCGTTTGGTTTCCTGTAATGTTTAATCAGCTTTCTATACACTCAGAACCCATCGAGGGCTGGAGGATTGTACTTAAAGAAATACGGCTTGCGTTGGTTTCTTGGGGGGAGGGGTTTGTCTAGGACGAGCATTTTTAGAGCTGGAACCCATTCATCTCTGTATCAGTGATAGAGTAACTGTATCTTTAGCACAAGGTTAAGATATGGTATTAATATCCCCGTGAGAGTACAAAGTGACACCGAGCTACTAATTATGCAAGGTTCAGCTGCTGGGTCAAGGAGCAGATAACTTAGAATAAGTGATGATGCTTGAGCGACTGTAACACTTGTGGGGAGGTTGGGGGTGGGGGGGAAAGAGACACGCACTGAAATGTTTAACTTAACGTACGATTGCATCAGGGGTTTGTTATCCCATGGCGCTATTCGGAGAGAGAAGGGAGTTTCTCCAGACCTGTCTTGACCAATAAATCCCCCCCACAAAAATTGGTCACTCACTCCATGACTATTTGTGGGACATTGCTCTGTCCACTTTACAGTATGTCCTGTGAAGGACTTTGAGACGTGTCATCGACGTGATAAGGCGCTATGTCAAGTCAAGGATTATTTATTTAACATGTGATGTTAGCAGGGGAGCAGATGAATTTGGATCAGGTTGTGGTGAACGTGCAAATTCTTGTCCTTTTCCCTTAAGACGAAGGAACAAGGTAAGTGGTACATACCAGTGCAAACCAAGGGAGTATTTGTGGGACTCCTCTACGGTCTGCGCTCCACAAAGTTGAGATTTATTGTGAAATGCCTTGGAGCTGTACAGATGGCGGGCCCCAATTTGCAACAGAGACGCCGTTTGTCAAACCAGCCTGGTTACGCTTCCACTTACTTAAAAAAGAAAGCACTGTAATTACTCCCTACTCCCTTCCCTCCGTGGCCTGATTTTCCACCCACTTCTTTCATTGCCTTACCTGCCAGGAACCTACAAAATTGAATGCATAACTGGAGTTTCATCTACCGGGTTTCACATTGAGATGCCAGATGTTTCCAGTTGCCGAAGTATTCCCAAGCAAACAGCCTTTTCAGTCCTTATTTGCAAAGCTATTCTGGGTCTCACTTGTTATGATGATGATGTTTAATCTTTACGTTTAATTTAAAGCTTTATCACATTTGTCAAAACATCCCAAATCGCTTCACGGCATTTAATGTGAAGTGTCGTGACCGAACATTTTTGTGGGTGAATGCAGCAGGCGATTTGTACACAGCATTGTCCACAAATAACCAAGAAGCGAATGACCGTTTTTTTTATCTTGGGGGATTGTAGTCCAGGACTGCGGGGGAAACTTTAACATCCACCTGAACAGGTAGATGGGACCTTGGTTTGACGTCTCATTCGAAAGGATGGTACCTCTAAGAATGCAGCCCATCCCCAAAAACACAGTCACTCCACTGTAAATCATGTGAAGCGATTTGGAACATCCACCCAATATGAAAGGCGTAATACCAAGTGCAAGGATTATTATGATTATTATTCCTAGCACTGCACTGGAGAATCGGTCTAGACCTTGTGAGTTGAACCCACAATGTGATTCAAGAGGTGAGAGGGCTACCAACTGAGCCAGGCTGACATCTAGGGTTAAAGGTGTGAGTCTTTGGACTATATCAACTCTTACTATAACAAGGCTTTGGGAGTGCACAGTGATGCCTGTGGGAATCGAAAGCACTCCATCCTTTCCAACTCTGAGTTTGAGTGCACCAAAAAACGAGTCAAAATTGGTAGTTACAGCAACTTCAGAAAAAAACGACTCTAGATCAAGATTAGGGCAGTAATTCAAGTAATTAGCAATTATCCTGGATTGCAGAAGTCGACTGTATTTTCATGAAAAGCGTAATGAAACCGGAAGGCACTTCAAGTGACCCTCAGACAACAAAAGGGCAACTAAGAAACTTCTTAAGGTCTTAATCCTCACCGGTTCCTTTGCTCAAAATAGCTATGAGTTTAAGTTCATTTAAGTTTTGTTATACTTGGCAGCTTTACACACAGATCGGAGCAATATGCAACTTGCCATGTGATAAGCATTGCGTGATAAGTATTGGCTGGACAAAAAATGTGATCAAAAGCAATTGTTAGCAGTAGGGATGATAATCCTCTCCACCAAAAAAAATCTTTGGTGCAATGGTTGGGTCCAACGTCTGGCTCAATCAACTCTGGGTTGCTGCCATTTTTGTTGTTAGCAGGTGAGCAGTTTTATTACCCATAGCTACACAGTGTCAGTGCAGGAGCAGCTGGCTTCATTTTAGATGTCACGTCATAAGTCGCGTTGTACTCCAGAGAGTAACTTTCATTAGTGAGACACTGCTTCAATATCCAGAGGAACTCTGTTATCAGTCGGTCCCCTTATATAAACCAGGAGCCCCATGGACCAGCGGTTAGGTTCAACCACCTGGCTTCCCACGCACTAAAAACTGTCTACTTCCGGGTCGTCAGATCACCACTGATATGACTTCCTGTGCTCTGTGCGTATGAGCAGGACGTGCACCGAGAATAGGAAGCGATGCGGGCGGAGACCTGACGACCCGGAAATCATCTGCTCCTCAGCAGCGCCAAGGCAGCCCGCACATGTGCAGCACCGCAGAAAGCGGCGGTGGCCATATTGCCTTTGCGCCCCACGATGTTTGGGGATTATGGACCCAAAACGCCGGGTTATAACAGGGTTCCTCTGTAATCTACCTCCGGGATTTTCCGTATGTAGGTGGGAAGGCATGGAAAGCTCAGCTTGTTTTGGATACTCTTAAGCATGGTGATGGGATTTTGCATGTGTCAAACACTCGGCTGACCCCCCCCCCACCAATAAATATACAGGACAGTGTAAATATTTGTAGCATTATCATTATGCGATGGTGCACAGATAGCCTGTGTTGTTTTTTCTCCTTGCCATCCACTTTTCCATTACCCCAGATCCAGGATGTTTTTTCCCCACATGCCACTTACAGAGGAGGGGGGAAAAAAATCAGTAAAACCAGCACACACCATTTTTAGGAAGCAGAATGTGGAGAGAGGCGAGGATTCTCAATCAAATAAAACCTCGCTTCTCTCCCACAGACAGGGTTTCAGTGGTGTTTTGTACTCTCTTCTTCCTCAGGCCAACATTCCCAGCATCAAACAACAGAGGCTCTCAGTCATGCCGTGGAGAACCAGCCCTGATGGGCACTGGATGTGAATGTAAATCAAATCTGTAAGCTGCGCAGTTTTTTGGCACATTGCTCTTGCAACTCCAACTGAGAAACTTAATTCACCAATTGACAAAAGTCTAATTAAGTTAGAGTAAGAATGATTCTGGTGTTTGATACAGCGCCTTTCACATCGGGAGAAGGTCTCAAAGCCTTCACTGGAGTTACTCTAAAGTGCAGCCACTGTATTTTCTTTTGCTGGGACTGCAGCAGACAATTTGCACACTGCAATGTCGCCACAAACAGCCATGAAGCAAGTGACCGATTTTATCCAGGGGATTGATGGCCAGGACACTAGGAGAAACTCTCTCTTTCAAGTAGTGCCATGGGATCTTTAATGTTGACCCGAATAGGCAGATGGAACCTTGATCTAAAGAACAGCACCTGCAACCATACACCGCTTCCCCCAACACTGAATGTCAGAGTAGACTATGCGCTTAAAGTCTCGACGTGGGACCTGAACCCACAACTTTCCGACTTGGAGGGAAGATTACTCCTGATTGAGAGAGGCTTGTATTAGCTGGAAGGTGTCAGCGGGAGGAAGGAAACACACAGCCAAGGTCCTGCTTTCTGTCATTATTCAACTGACTCTGTTGGGAAATACAGGTATATTAAGAACATCTGAAGATAAGACTGGGATCAACTGTGATGTATCCCAGTCTGAAATTCAGCTGTTATTAATATCTGATAATGGTTGAATAGCCTGTTGCCATCACATGTAAACAAAGACTGGTCGAGTAAAGCTTTGGAGATTGTTTTGTGCTGGTGAGACTAGTCCAAGTCACCAAATTCATGCCCGAGGAAGATATAGGGAGAAAACTGGAAAAACACACAGCAGAGCCTAGTTAACTGCAACAGTTGGGGGGAGGTGGGGAGGGGGGGTGGGAACCGTTGGTCCCTAAATTCCCAACCTGCCTTATAATGGGTGTTTCTGCATCTCAACGTCACTGAGCATATGACCGGACAGAAAATGGCTGACTTCTGGATTACCACTCTGCAAACAATAATAATAATAATAATCCTTGCATTTGATATAGCATTTTTCACGTCGGGAGGACGTCCCAAAGTGCTTCACAGAAGACACTGTAAAGTGAATTGACTGTATATTTGTGGGCGAACGCGGCAGCCAATTGCGCACAGCAATGTCCCACAAACAGTCGTAGATTGAAAATGACCAATTTATTATTGTTTTTGTTTTTTTGGAGGGATTATTATTAGGTGTGTTGAGTAAGGAAACTTGCCCAAGGTTTCGCCCTCTGCCTGGAAATGAACTCAGGTCTCTCACTTGCAAAGCGAGTGCTCTAACCACTGAGCTACAGGACTCCACAAATGTCACTTCCTGCATGCTGTGCACCTGTGGTATAGGAGCAGGAGTATGCCATTCCTTGAGCCTGTTCGATCATGGCTGATCTATCTAGACCTCATCTCCAATTACTTATTAACAGTGAATAGTAACCCTGTGGAACAGGCTCCCTCGGGAGACGGTTGAAGCAGGAAGTGTTGATTCCTTCAAATGCAGATTAGACAGTTTTCTTTTAGGAAATAACATTATGGGATATAGGACATAGGTAGTTCGGGACGTATGTCCACGTGACAGCCAGGAAGGTGGAAGGCGAGCTAGTTGGTATCTTTTCGCAAACACAAAAAAAACAGTCAATTCACTTTACAGTATACTCTGTGAAGCGCTTTGAGACATCTCAATGACGTGATAAGGCGCTGTATCAAATGCAAGGATTATTATTATTTCGGTCTTTTTTTCTTCTCGCATTTCTTATGTTCTTATGTTCTAATATCAATCAATTAATGTAATCAGCAAACCTGTGTTGTAAGAAAGTTGTTAGAAATGGGTGGGGAGGAGGGAGGGTGTTTGTATCGTACACTACAGAAAGAACACGGACAATTCAGGCAAACAGAAAGACAGACAAGGAATTAATAGATCCTTATGGTGTCTGTCTGACCTTCATCGGGCCATGGTTCTCTTTAATGTGTTTTATGAACCAGCTGGACCTATTCAAAGTTCTAGGAAAATTCAAAGTCATTTTAAAGTGGGATTTACAAGTGCCAATACAATAATGGCAACAAGACTGTGCAATCAGACATAAAACAGATTTTCATGTTGGCACGGATACAAAAATGACTCCTGATAAAGTCCACTGCAGATCACTGAACCAAATATATCCAACATTGTTTGTGATATTTGGCAGTGGCTGACAGGGTTCAATTTAAGCTGCATAATTGTCTTGGCAATTTTTTTCTCTGAATTGCATCAAATCCTTTTCGTAAAAATCTTTAATTAGGCCAGAGAAGCACTTTGAGATATTTTGCTAATGTGAAAAGGTGCTGTATCAAATTCGCAAATGATTATTATTACTGTATAAGATGCGTCTATGTATCAGGTACTTTTATGAGGAATGAGGAATATTGTAAGCTCAAACTCCAACCTCAAAAGTGAGGAGTGTCTTTGTATAAAACTGCCTGATTTGTATGTTCGTTCACAAAACCCACAGTCACTGCACTTTACAGTATATCTTGTGAAGCGCTTTGGGGTGCGCTCCTGACGTGAAAGGCGCTATACCAAATGTAAGGATTATTATTAGTATTAATAATAAGTTAGTCAATCAACATCTTGTTTTCATCGGTGGTGATGGCAGTCCTCTCAAATCGTTGTAATTAATACAATAATACTTGCGTTTGTTCTGGTGCCTTTCACATCAGAAGGATATATCAAAGTACCTCACAAGATTAACCTCCAGGTGTAATGTAGTGACTATGTATTGTGGAGCCAAATGCCAACAAGACACGCATCACTTTCTGAGTTGCGCTCCGAAATCCCTGGCAGTCAGTGCTGGAAGCAAACAGTGTGGAGTGTGTCCACGATATATCTGTACTATAAAAGTGCCCTCAGTATATGTCAGGGCGTATTTTAATGGGGGCGGGGGGGGGTGGGGCTAGACTGCAGCAACCCCTTACTGTTAACACTCCAGACGAGAAGCACTAATATTTACAGACTTCACTGTAAAACGATGCTGGAAAAGAATCAACCAGCACGTTTGAAAGTTGCACTGCTTGCTGTGTTCAGTTGTTGATATATTGGACCCATTCACCACAGGAGAGTTTAAGCACGTGGGAGCAGTAAGAGGCAAAGATAATGAAAATCATAACCAACAGCAGCTCTGTCAATAGACCGATGCTAATATGCACCTTTCACAAGAGATTATGAATGACCTCATTGTGCAGAAGAATGTTCAGATTCCGGCATAAGGTTTACATCTCTCATTTAATGTCCCCATCGGGCTTAAACCCTTATTTATTTATACATATATATATCTCAATATAAAATATTGCAAGCAGAAAGGATCTTGGCAGAAACCCTTTGGTTGGAGCCAAATGACTTTGCTGAGAGCTGCTAAAATGCAACAATGAACTAGTTCTAATTGCAAAATGAACCCCCCCGCCCCCCCCACCCACCCCCACTTTCTTGGCTGAGTTCCAGGCCGGTGAAGAACACCATGGGAGTGAGGTTCATCACTGAATTCTTTACAACTTGTATTTAGGCAGCGCCTCTCATTCAGGGTATCACCCCAGAGCACTTAATAGTGGCAGAGCACGACAATGAGTTGTGGGGGGGGGGGGAGGGGGGGGGGAAGGTCTTTTCCAAGGGAAAACCCGAATAGATGAACCAGCACAAATTTGACTCTTTCAGTCTTCTTTTGCCTTTTTGTGTCATCAAATCTGTTTGGCTCTGATACGTTTCAATACAGTTAGCTCTGATCAGTGGTTAATGCGCTTAATCCATTCCAGCTACTCCCAGATCATTTTTACATGGCTATTTTACTCACTTTTTTCTTACACGCACACACTGGACTGACCAAGTGGCTCTCTCCCATTCCTGGGGCATTATATCCACAACAACAACCTACATTTATATAGCGCCCCTCGCACAGGGTAGAGTCCCAGAACGCTTGATAACAGAGCAGCCGATTACAGCAAGTGCCTCAATGTCCAGAAAGGGACACTTCTTGACAACATAAGGGTTTGCTCGGTGAAAGAAGAACAAGGTCCATCCAGTTTGCCTTCCAACATCCTGGCAGTCGTCTGACATGTCATGTCCCACACTATATATCGTATCTCGAGATATTATTTCCTAACAGGAATCTATCTAATTTGTCTATATAATAATATATAGACATACTATATAGTCTGTATGTGTAAAAAAAATTGGTCACTCAATCCACGACTGTTTTGTAGGACACTGCTGTGCGCAATTGGCTACCGCATTTTGCTCACAAAACATACAGTCAATTCACTGTACTGAGAAGTCTCGGAGATGTAATAAGGCGCTACATCAAAAGCAAAGATTATTATTATTATTATTATAATTTATCTCGTCGTGGACTTTCTTTCTCTATGAAGACGGTGGGTCCCTTACCTTGTCAGAAGTACGGCGTTGTCGTGGTGGGCGATGCCGTTGTCGGGAATGGCGTTCCCATTGCCGTTGCGAGAGAGGATGGATTTCTGCCACTTACAGAAGCTGTCGAGTGATTTACCCGCATGGTGGTTGACTTCCAAATTCGGCTAAAGTGCAGATAAAAAAAAATTTAGTTTATTAACGTAGAAAGAATACTCGCTGGAGATTACGATACTTTTACAACTTTGTTTCCCTATTTAAAAAAAATACTTGTGGGTAGAATTCAAGGATTTGCCAAATGCTGACCACTTTGTAATGCTCCGTTGAATGGAGTAAAATCTCGACTCAGGCGGAGTTTTACTCTATTTCTGTCCACAGCAAAGCCTCTGAAGATTTTCCGTCCCTAAAATACATACAGTTGCTACGATTTAAGAAGCGCTTTGAGATGTCTCGACGACGTGATACGGTGCTGTATGAAATGCTAGGATTGTAAGATGGCACACACCACAAACCGAAGTTGCTGCATGGTTTGTGTCTTAACACAGTTAGAAAAGGAGTGGAACTGATGACAGAGCACCCGAGGGAAAGCATCAAATCAGTTTCGATACAACAATTTTGAGGGTAACATTTACCCACTTGACCTGCTCTCTCGGTGCATCTGAAAGCATTTTTCTGCATCCACTTTCTCAATCCCATTTCAAATCTAATACACCCCCATAAGGTCCCCTCTGAGAGATCTCGTTTGGGATCGGCAACTAAGATAAGCCGTGGAATTGCAGTCGTACAGTCGGGAAGATGTACGTTGAGCGGAGGAAGAAGAGGGCATAAAGCACCCTTTCTTACCTGGTCATCTGTCAGTAAGATCAGCCGAGTCACCACGACATTCACAATGTTTCCTATACTGGAGTCTTGGAAAAGTTTGGCAACCTGACCTCCAGAAAACAAGAAAAGACACAGTCTTAAAAATGAAAATGGTGCCTGCTCAAACAGCTCTCCCTTTCCTTTTTGCTGTCAGTCAAGCGAGACTTAGGAAACTAAATACTGTATTGAGAGGCAAGAGAGCTCCAGTTTAAAAAAAATCGTGTTCCTTCCACCTTGGGATGAATAAACGTTGTAGATAATTAAGGGATAATTCCCTCAACAGTCATAGCGGCCATAGAACCACAGATATTAACAGCCTCTCGTGTCTGTGTTGGCTCTTTTAAAGAGCAATCCTTTCAGTCCCATTTACATGACCTTTCCCACATACTCCTGTAGTTTATTATTTATTTAGATTACTTCTATTTAAGTTAAGCACACGTCAAGTGATCCCTAAGGTACATTTAATAAAGAAAGTGCAACAAACCAATACATCGCAGTGTCCACTCTTCCATTGGGTTAATGCAGACACGAATGATCTTTTGAACCATAGCTAACTACTGCAGGGAATCTGTCAATCCGTCGATCGATCGATCGATCGATTGATCCATCGATCAACCAACCAACCAACCAACCTTCAGCCAATCAACCTCCAACCAATCTACCAGCCAGGGTACTCAATGCTGCCCTATCAGGGGATTAAGTACAAAGGGTACATTGCGCAGTGAGATAATATACTTACAATATTCATGACAGAGAGGATGTACTGCTCAATCTCCCTTCGGCCGTGATAACCCACCATCATCTTATCTGCCACGACTAGAGTCTCTACGTAATGTTCTCGACTGACTGATCTTTTGAGCTGCAGCTGGTTTCTCAGTGTTTGATTAGGTGAGAGGGTGACCGGCGAGGTCTGAAAATCCCTCAGCCACATAGGTCTTCTTTTCCCTGGTTTCTCATCTGCAACAAGAGAGAACGGGTGAATGTTTGACACAGCAATGGATTGGGTGGAGAGAAACCGGCAGCGGGAGGAAGGGGTTGAGAAGGGGAGCAAATGTTTTGAAGGATCTGTTCACTACCACATCAAAATTTCTGCTTAACGTTTGGGGGAAATAATAATAAAATTAATAATCCTTGCATTTGATACAGAGCCTTATCACGTTTTTGAGACGTCTCAAAGCGCTTCACAGAATAAACTGTAAAGTGAATTGACTGTATATTTCGTGGGTGAAATAAATAGTCTAATAATAATCGTTTAAGGATCAGTTGCAATGGCCAATGCAGTCAGGGATAAAAAAAGATTAAAATGACCCACCAAGACAATAGTAAAAGAGGTTTGCAGTTACAAAATAATAATAATAATAATAATAGGACAATTTCAGGACAGAAATCCTTATGCAGAGGATGATTAATGAGTGGAACAAGTTGCCACAAAACGTGGCTGAGGCTAGTACATGAGACTCATTTAAAAAAGCAGCTTGATTCTGTGATGAGAAGGTCAGTGGGGTGGGTATTCCGGAGGGGATGAAATCAGATGGTGCCAATGGGCCATCTCCATCTGAACCAAATCTCGGGCACGTGGCATTACCGTACAGTTAACACTCCTGCTTCTTCCGAACGAGGCCAAGGGCTGCTAAGCCCTCACTTTAAAACTTAAGGCCGTCTTAATTTGTGGAGAGCCAGTTTTCCAGAGTTTTAAGAGCTGCAGGAAACCGGCTTCCAAACGAAGCCGGGATGGAAAAAACTTTTCCAGACTCCTACACGGTCTTAAATTTTAAGACTATGGTCTGAAAGCTAAAACTATTTCCGGCCTCTGATATGTTCCATTTGGCTCGGTGCCTCCTGCCTGGGATGACCTGCGGATCACTTCCTGGCTGCCCCTGTTCCCACATGGCCTGCACCTGTTTCCTGGCTTGTCTTGACTTCTTTCCCACATATTGCTGGGTTGCCACTACTGAGCAGAGACGTGAAGTAGAGAGCGTTACCTAGGACCCCACACGGCATGTCAAGGCGCTGGTTTTGGTTCCGAAGAGACGATCGCTTATAAACCACATGGGGGCTCCCTTCCGTGTAACTGAATTCGTCCACAGTAGTGAGGGGCTCGATAAAGTATTCCTCCTCGTCTGCAACTATTACTCCGTGCTGCAACCGGAACAAAGCGGATGTGTTACCGAATATCATACGGCAAACGCCAGACCCAGGTGTCCAGGTTCATGTTTGAGACACTCAGAGCCAGAGAGACAGACACACAGATACACACACACACATACATACACACACACACAGATACAGACACACACACACACATACACACACACACACACACACAGATATACACACTCACACACACACACACACACAGAGTTACAGACAGGCATACAGATAGAAAGGCACGCAGGCTCACAGACACATAGTGACACACACACAATGACAGACAGATGGACGAAGACAGACAGAAAGGCAGACATGCCGCACAGGAAAAACAGGACTGTGGTTAGCGCTCGCGGAAGGTATGAGCTCCAGCAGCAAGATTCCAAGAAAGCTTTTGAACAATCTGTAAATATTATAAAATGCAACTTCCTGGGGAATATGCTCAACGTACAGATGTGATTATGTAAACCAGTAGGAGTTGATGATGTCATGCTGATTGCTTGAATGCTGTACCCTGGCAACAGACTCCCAGTCATCATTTACTTTCTGCATCGCAAGCAAACACTACAAAGAAAGGTCCTCGTACACAACTTTAACAGCAGACGAGAGAGAGGCTGACACCACACGCGTTATATGAGGTTCTGGTCGCTGATCGCTCCCTGTTTTTTGGGGACAATAATAATACTAATGATCCTTGCATTTGATATAGCGCTTTTCGCATCTTCTGTACGTCTCAAAGCCCTTCACAGAGGAAGTGAATTGATTGTATATTTGCGGGCGAAACACAGCAGCCAATTGCGCACAGCAGCGTCCCACAAACAGTCGAGGATTGAGTGACCAGATTGTTATTTTCTTTATTTTCTTGAGGGATTATTATTAGGCGTTTGGAGTAAGGAAACTTGCCCAAGGTTTCGCCCTGCCTGGGAATTGAACCCAGATCTCTCGCTTGCGAGGCGAGTGCTCTAACCACTGAGCTCCAGGACTCCACAAGGACACAAACGACGTGCTTCAGTTTCATCCAAATACATGCCCTACTTTTACTCAATTTGTCGGATAATACCTTAAAAACACACAGTCACTACACTTTACAGTAAATCCTGTGACGCATTTTGAGGTGTCCTCCCGATGTGAAAGGCGCTTTATCGAATGCAAGGATTATCATCATTATTACAAGATGGGAACCGCTGAAATGATTAGGAGCTCTGTTAACAGGAACCAGACCGAGATATTTAGATTATTAGTAATATTGATTTCATCCGATGTAGCAACATCATATCATCAAGACTCCTCAAAACGCATCACAGGATATAGGGTAAAGTGGTGTGACTGCGTATTTTGTGGGCAAAAGTGGCAGCCAATTTGCTGTTGTGCGAGTGACCAATTTTAATTCGTGGATTGGTGGCCAAGGCTCCAGGAGAAACTCTTCTTAGATTCCTTGTGTAAAAGGACAAACAAAGTGAGACGGGAACTCAGTGTACTTAGTGACCCAAGGAAACAGCGTGTCGGTTATTTGACGGCTCAGATTGCAGACAGAGAAAGACGCCTTGGAGATTGGGAGCAAAAAAAAGGCACATTCCTCACAGTAATGCCATTTACACAAAGCCAACACGGATGTTTTTTTCGAATCGCTCGCCTGCCTTTAGGGCAAGAACACTGACACGTTTCAAAGCGCTTCACATACGTTGCTGTCATAATAAATATAATAGCATTCCTTGCATTTGATAAAGCGCCATGTCGCCTCGTTGAGACGTCTCAGAGCGCTTCACGGGATATACAATGTAAAATGAATTGACTGTATGTTTTGTGGTAGCGACAGCGTTTTGTGGACAAACGAGGCAAAGTCACCGTGGACAGCCAGGAGGGGAATGATCAATTAATCTGCAGAACTGTTGGCTGGGAAATTTGCAGAAAGTCCCTCCTCTTTGCGGAGAGTGCCGAGGGATCTGCAGTTTGAAGTAGTTTGACTCTAATTGTCGTAACAGGGTAAATATTTATTCTAGCACGTTAGCACATCGATGCTGTGGGGACTGGGTTTGTTGACAAGCTTCAAAAGGGCTTTACTGATATTTGGTTCATTCATAAAGCCAGGAACCTGATGGCTAATGATTAAAATAAACACCATTTGCTGGCACCGGGTCCATATAAAGCAGCTACTCTGTCTGAAAGACGAGTTCGTCAACGGAGGCTCACATTAGGTGGGAAGGAGCAAAATAACTGGCTCGGGGGAGAGCTGCACACGGTAAAAATCGACCAATTTACTTCCAGCCAACACTTGACAGCTGCAATTCTCTCGTCTCCTGTCAGAGGGATTCCCAAGGGAATAGGACTGGAGCAAACAAACAACCATCTCAGCTGGGGGTTAATAACTAAAGTACAATGAGGAGTCTGACACATGCGGAAACTAATCATCCACCGTCCTTAAGAATATCCAAACCAGACTGAGAGTTCCATGTGTTACTACCCTGCACATGGTAATATCCGTCGCAACTACATTTCAAGGTAAATCTCTGATCTTAACGTGTCATTTACCAAGAGAAGACTCCAAGCTCCCCCGCCACCCCCCAACCTTTAGTACATCTCAAAGAGCTTCACAGGATTTACTGTAAAGAGTAGTGACTGTGTATTGAGGGCAAAAACGGTAGCTAATTTGAGCGCAGCAATGTGCCAAAGATTCAATCCAATTAATGTTGATCCATGGCAATGCACTCCACTCGTAAAGCAAACTTTCTAGCCACTCCTGCAATGTAGCCTGTGTAGATTCCTTAAAACGTTTGACAATAGCTGTCCCTTTCATCTGTTGTCAGGGTAGCATTAGCCACAAGTCAGCTGTCTATATAAATTATATATATTGTGCCAGTTTATTGGGGAAGCACGGGACAGCTGTCTGTTCAATAATTGGAATGTAATTTTTTCATAATTTGGAGAGAAGACATTACTTTCATTTTTGGACACATAAGACAAGAATTTCTCTCAATCATCGGTGATTACCCCTTGAATTCAAGATCGCGATGTGGGGAGTAAAAGAGAGAGTAAGAGAGATTCGGTAGGACTCCATCGCCAGAGGCTTGTGGAACGATTTGGTGTCTATTGGGGCAGAGTTGATTTAGGGGCATTTGTTGGAAAAGCAACATGCGGAAGAAGGGGATTAGAGGGTACAGGGATAGAGCAGGGGATTGGGATTAAGGCGGACACCTTCTTGAAGGAGCAAAAGGAAAAAAAATGGGTCCAGTGGCCTTGTAACATTTATGTCATAACATTTCTGTAGCTGCACTGAAACTGTCCAGCGGTTCACAGCTCATGTTAACTGGACTGTCATCAAGAAGAAAAGCAGCGACTTACCAATCCATTGCAATTGCTTAAGGCCACCTTCGTAGCTTCCTCCAGATCGCTTAAATGTCCCAGATAATGGCATTCGTCCATGTAGTCGTGCCTCCATTCCAGTCCATCTTTTTTCCAGTACTCCACGGTGAAATAGTCGGCGACCAGGTTGGTGTGCAAGGTCAAGTTTAAGAGAAAGTGCAATCCGTGCGAGGAGACTTTGTAAAAAACCTGCTGCTCGGCTGGCTCGTGGTGAAACGCGGGCAGGCTCCTCTTCGACCGCAACTTGTGGCTACTCTTTACGTTATAGCTCAGGAAGTCTCCGTTGTGATCGACGCGGACCGGAATGGCTATCTCGTAGTGTTCGAGAGTCGACAGGAACTCCTCTGTGGTCGAATCAACAAAACGCGCCCAGTTAATCCGGATTAGAAAGCCTTTAAAAAGGCGCGGATTCCCGTAGCGTCGGGGATCAGCGCGCTCGCCTCGCAAGCGAGACGACCCGGGTTCGATTCCCGGGCCGGGGTTGAAGTAAATAGCATGAATTTATGCAACAGATATCGCGATGGACATCAACGAGGAAGAGAATAAAGGGGTGTGGGAGAGGGAATGAGGACGGATGGGGGGGCTAGTGTGGAGTATAAACACTGGCGTGGTTGGGCTGAACGGACTGCTTCTGTGCCTATTACTCTATCTATCTCCATGTCCAGTGATAGACGTTTCTCACCGACCTCAACAGGATGAGGTCCAAATTCAAATCAAATCAAATTCAAATCGGCGTCCCGAGTTTATTATTTATATCCCGTTTCCTGCCTTCTCCTCCGGAATGGAATGCAGTCGAAAGACACTTGTAAAGAAACTGAATAGATACATTCCTGCCTCGTTCCCCGGTGGGACGTGGGGTTGGGTTCACTCGGACCTGTCAACAACTGATCCTATCTGTCACGGAAACATTTAAAGCCATTCCCCCTGCGTCGAATCTTCGTAAAGCCTTCGGTCTGATTTTATGCAGCTAATAAAGAAACATTCTGCAACATTATATAGTTGAATAAAGGATAACCTGTCAACTTACTTTACAATTGTATTCTGTGAAGTGCTTTGAGATGCCTCAACCGCGTGAAAAGGCACTACATCGAAATGCAAGGATTATTGTTATTACGAACTGGAGATTCGTGAATAATAATCATTGCGTTTGATACGATAACTGATCATGTCATCAACAGCTCAAAGCGCTTCACAGGATTTACTGTGTTGTGCAGTCGCTGTGTATTTACTGCGAACGCTGCAGCCAATTTGCATAGAAACACAGAGGAGGAGGAGGCCAATTCAGCCCCTTGAGCCTGTTCTGCCATTCTACAAGACCATGGCTGATCTGTACCTTAAGTCCAATTAACCGCCCTTGCCCCATGTCTCTTAATACCCACAGGCTTACACAGGTGCCCTACAATACCCTCAAAATGAGTGACCAATTTTATCTGAGGGATTGTTGGCCGGGAAACCAGGAGAAATAAGTTTCCGAATAAGTGCCATGGGATCTTTAACGTGCACTTGAGCACGCCTCATCTGAATGACGGCAATACACTGGATTATGCACCCACAACCTTCTGACTCACAGGCGAGAATGCTTCCAATTAAGACAGGCTGACATCAAGATGATCCACCTCAGATTATCTGAAAGTATTACTCCTGCAGTGTAGAAACTACATGGTCATCTGCTGTTTTAAATTTACTTACATTTTGGACTGGAATCTCTTACACCGCTTCACATCTCTACCAGGAAAAGGCATTATATTTACAATACAATCCAAAGTTACATTTGTATAGAGCCTTTAGCGCTGGATGGACAGGGATTGGGACCCGAGCAGGAGGTTTGGGATCAGGGAGGGCAGGGATGGGGGGGGCGAAGGTGTGGTTGAAGAGGAGGGTCTTGATATTTCTAGATAAATGAAGGTTACCCTTAGACGTGTTACCTTGTGAGTTGATTGAGTGAATGGTGCTGCTACGGAGCTCTAAAGATGCCATCGTGACGCACAATATCCAAGTTACAGTCCTCCAAAGAACTTCCATAATGAAGGATACTGGGACCGGAGTGAGTGTTGTGCCAAGCTAAGTCACACTGTGCCAACATGTCTTTTCTCTTATGTTTGGATGCTATTCACCATGTTCCCTCCGGCCATTTCGGAGCACCTCCGGGTTCCCTGAAGAGCCGTGGGCCGAATTCCCTGGATTCCGCTGGTGAGATAAGTGGCTTTCCCGTGCAATAAGCTGTAAACCCTCTTCCAATTCTGCAAGAGAGAAGCAAAACCACATGGAGAGTCCAGTGACGATGTTGGAAGAGGCGCTCACATGTAAACAAGACCGAGAAGCTTCATGCCCATGTTAAACAAAATATATTTTGCACGCAAAATATACACTTTACAGTATAATCTGCAAAGCAGATTGAAACGTCTCGAAAACATGATAAGGCGCTACATCAAATGCAAGGATTATTATTATTATTATTACCCTTCGATGGAATTGTTCACCTTGAGTGGAATGTGCTTTGAAGCTATCTCGGGTCGTGTTGCAACCAAACTTAATGACTGGCTCCACAATTTTATTTCATCTCAAGGCAAGGCAGCTTGTTTCCACAGCTGCATAGTTTTACCCTCCAAATCTTCAATTATTTGCAATTACATTTGCAGGGCAAACGGCTGTAATTAGTTCCCCAGATGTGAACAGAGGTTTTGCACACTAGCTCTCCATACCATAAAAACACCCAGTTATTTCAGTTAAAGAGCTTGCGATATCCTAATTACAAACTGCGAAGTGGGGTGGGGGGAGGTTGGGGAGTGGGGGGGGATGGAGAGAAGGGGATAGAAAAGACTGAAAGCTGGACATCTTAATGGTGATCAGCCGGGTGTCTGACACGCATGGCGGGAATTCATCACCATGCTTAAGAGTAAAGTTAAAACAGAAAATGCCAGAGATCCGTAGAAAGTCAATCTGCATCTGAAAGAGAAAAGCAGGTTAACAGTTTGGGTGGTTCCAGTTAGTTTTGGATGGCAATTATAATGAAGCCGATAATTTTCCATCACCGACCGTGGCTGCCGTCGTCTTTGTGATCCCTGACGCTCTCAGGCTGCTACAGCCTTCCCTCGTTTGACATTCCTTTTACTATCTGAGGACCTCAGGTCAATAGGACCTTCCCAATGCTGAGTTCCAGGGCAGAGAGCGCTTCCTGGGAGCTCAGCGAGAGCACAAGCCCCATCCCCATCGGACAAAATCCAAAGGCCCCGACCCAATAACAACAGCAACTTGCTTTTATATAGCGCCCCTCGTGCGGGCTAGCGTCCCAGAGGGCTTCACAGCGGCGGAGCATGACACCGAGCTGGTGGGAGAGGGGGAGGTGACCGTAGGCGCGGTTGAGTAGGAAGGTCTTCAGACACGACCTGTAAATGGGGAAGGAAGGGGCAAGGCGGAGGGACGAAGGAAGAACGTCAGGCCATCTGCCTCGCAGACTGTTATTATAGTACAAGAGCTTCAAATCAGCAAGCCTCCCAACTGCCCGATCCCAGTTAGCAATGGGGTTCCCCTTCACCCCAGCGAAAGGAAAGCACCGCTTTTAAATGCGTTTCCTTCAGAACGCTCTCCGGGATTTCAATGCTCCTTTGTACGAATGTAAAAATCAACTTCCCAGTCTTGCCTTTTCCACATGTAAATCTTCTCAGTACTATATATACTGCATATACACGAGCAGCGCAGAATCACACAGTACAAATGGCAAGACACCTGCATTCTCCTCAACAACTGGAAGACGAGGAGCAAACACGATTGCACGAGCCTCGCGAGTAATAATAACAATCCTTGCATTCGATATAGCGCTTTTCACGTCTGCGAGACGTCTCAAAGCGCTTCACAGAATATGCTGCAAAGTGAATTGACCGTGTGCGATACCCGGCAGCAGTGTCCCACAAACAGTTGCAGATTGAGTGACCAAATGATCATTATTATAATATTTTTTTGAAGGGATCATTACCCCCCTCCGGAAAGCGATACGCCAATCAACTAACAACATTTTAAGCATTACGCCACTCAACTTCCGAGAGCGTCCGGGACACTGGGAGAAACTCTTCTTTTTGAACATTGCCATGGGCTCTTTCAAGTTCCATCTGACCCGGCAGATGGTTTAGTGTCTCATCCAAAAGATGGTCGACGTTGCAGCGAATTCATCAAAATCAATCATCAAACATTGCGCTCCAAGTTTCTGGTATTATTATAAATCTCCTTTATACTGTGTTTTTTTTTGTGGAATCAACCGCCAATTTGGATGGAAATATTCCGAAAGAAACACATGGATTTTTCTAGCACTTTATCACGTTGAAGCGCCTCAAAGCGCTTTGCGGTACTTACTGTCGACGGTGGTGTCTGATTCCTGTTGGCGGAAGCACACCTCGGCAAAGTGGGCTGTTCTGCTATCCGAGCTCTGGGTTGAAAATTAATTTTTCCATTCAAATCAAGCCGACATGCATGAATAAATCATCAATTAAACCCCCGACATTCAAATCAAACTCCAGCTGTGTTATTGCCGGGGCTGGTAAGGCACACTTCACTCACACCAACTTTAAACTGGCTGTGTGAAACTGAAGCCACATCTCAGTTCAGAACAATAGTAATAATATTCCTTGCATTTGATGTAGCACCTTATCACGTCGTTGAGGCATCTCCAAGTGCTTCACAGAATATACTGTAAAGTGGATTGACTGTATAGTTTGTAGGCAGCCGATTGCGCACAGCAGTGTCATGCAAACAGTCGTAGATTGAGAGACCCTATTTTTTTTGGAGGGATTATTATCCTCGGAAAGCGTTCCGCCAATCGACTGACAACCGGGTTCCTACTTACTGCTTGGGAAACAGAGGCGTGTGGAGTAAGGAAGCTCTGCCTAAGGTTTCGCCCTGCCCGGGTGGTGGGTTCAAGGCCCACGATGGGACTCTGCGTTCTCGCAGTCTGGACGGACACTCCAGTGCGATGCTAGGGGAGCTCTGCATTGTCGGAGATAACCATGCTTTGGATGAGACGTTCAACCGAGGTCCCGGATGCCTGTTCAGGTGGATGTCAAAGATCCCATGGCGCTATTCGAAAAGAGAATTGAGTTTCTCCCAGTATTCTGGCCAACAATCTCCCAAAATAAAACTGCTCACACACTTCAGGGCTGTTGGTGGGGACTTTGCTGTGTGCAAATTGGCTGCTGCGTCGAGCTACAAAAATACACCCTGTATTTTACGCTTCACAGCTTTGCGACATCCTCCCGATACAAAAGGCGTTATGTCAAATGCAAGGATTATAGGATTATTATTAATGGTGGAAGCCTCAGAAGTGTACATCTTAAGATATATCTTCTTTCCGGGTTTGTTAGTGACTGACACACAAACGGTTAAAGAGAAACTTTGCGTTTACAAGTGGGTCCTGATGGTCTAAAACGTCATTTTTCTTCCTTCCTCGAACTTATTCAAGATTATACTTTGACTGCTCTTAGAGGAGGGGGGAGCGGGGGGGTCGAAGATTGCGCGCGGACGTGCGACGATAGAGCGGGAACTGAGAAAGAAAGGCGTCTGAAAAAAAAAGTAATCATAACGGTAAATGTCATGAACAACGAGTTTACAGACAAAAACGAGTTTAAGGCCAGTTGGTTGCAGGCCAACTGTATCCGAGAGTAATGGGGACCAGATGGAGAAATAATCTGTCTGATGTAATGAGGTGAATTGTGAGGTGCCCCCTACAGGAAAGAGAGTGGAACTAAAGCAATTTTTTCCCCCATTGCTAGAAGTGATTTTTAAATACAATTTACTCCCGAAACCGCAGAGCTTCTGTGCACACCGTCCAATTGTTGCTAAAACAAAATAAGCTGTTTAGACGCAAATGCGACGCCGTAGAATTTGCTTTAAATTTACCCCGGGGAACCAGTTGTCAGGTATGAAATACTCCCTTTATATACGGTAAGGGAACGTTAAGAATTGCACCAATGAAGGGGTTACGTTTATGCGGAAAAATAACACAATGGGAGGTTACTATTTGCACATTTTGTTCGTGGAGGGTATAGATTAGTCGCTGCGTCAGGAATTAAGAAGGAATCTCTTCTGGTTTGTCATATGCATCATCGCGGCTGTTTGCGGGACTTTGCTGTGTGCAAATTGGCTGCTGCGTTCACCCCTCCCCCCCCCCCCCCCCCCCACACCCACCCACACACCCACACACCCACACAAACACACACACAAAAACAGTCACTCCACTTTACAGTGACTCCCGTGAAGCGCTTCGAGACATCCTCCTGACGTAAAAGGCGTTGTATCAAACGTAAAGATTATTATTATTTTAATACTATATTTCAGCCATTCGAACGATATTGCTTCAGCAATGCGAGGAAGACTTAGAGACGTTTATTTCAAATGTATTTTTTTTCTCTCCAACCAAAAAAAAATACTCTTCTGTGCAGTCTACTCCCAGACAGAAGTACAAAAAAACTTTGGCTCAGTTAAAAATGACCCAGACTACTTGGCTGGTGGCCACTGGAGTGCTTAAACTCTTGCAAACAAAAAAATAGGAGTGAACAAACACACTGCTCACTATTTAGCTTTTTTTCTTGTTTTTTTTTAAAAAAACGTACACATATATATATATATATGTAAAAACTAATGAGTTGCGATTGACTTTGAACGTTTATGAAAAGGACTATTGTACAATGTTAGTCTTACACTCGCTAGGAATAAACTGGAGCAGGAAAAATAAGTCAGAAGAAAGTCAAATCGCAAACATATGCTGTAAGTGGGATTATTAAGGGCACCTGTATTTTTACTTTACAAGGCTTGCCTGGCAAGGTCTTAATTCTACTGCTAGAGGCAATGCAAAATCATACATATATACATAGATACACTGCATAGATTATTATACATAATGTGCTAAAACAATAGGAGGAAAAATCATCTCAAATTAAACCTCCTTCGGATCTACACAGCAGTTTCGAAAGCAATAATTGATTCTCTCATAAAGTCAACTCTTTCTCTCTCTCTCTCTCTCTCTCACACACACA